TTTGTTACCAATTTTTTTGTCGTGTACATCTGCATGAATAGCGAAAAGTTTTCTGCTCAACTTGATAGCCTCCCAACCAGAGAGACGGCGTGTAAAAATGTTTATTGTACACTTTTCAATGACTGGCTTTGGAATGGGAAGGAAGGGTTTTTCGCCCAAGTTGATTTGGGAGGCAGCTCACGCCTCCCTTCCGCCCAATATTTTCCACACGTCCAACCAGAAAAGGTGGCCAAATCCAATGGTTCGAGTTGATTTGCCCCACAAACAGTCGAGCGGTTTTCTAAATATTTTGTATTTATTCATATTGATGATGGTTTGGTTGCACAACTTGCTACATTAAGGGGTTATATAGGGGAGGGTGGTCCCATACCGACCCCCTAAAAGGCAAAGGCGATAAAGGTGAGAAAAATCAATTTTTCAGTTCAGTTCAAAAATTTACTATGTAGAGGGATCAGTTTACTATACATCTAAATGATTAGTAAGTGCGTAGGTGCTTTGAAGCGTTAGATATTCAGGCAAATATAAAACTCTACTTTTTGGTCGTACTCAAAAGTAGTGGTCCGAAACCGACCCCCTATTTCTTAACAGAAAAATTTAATAACATAAAATAGAATTTAATGATTTTGACGTTTATTAAGAAATATATTGAAGGTTCTTTCCAGAAAATAAAAATTAATGTATGAAATAAAGGGCACTGTAGTCAATTGATGAAGTCTGAGTTGTCCCCTTTCTCATAGTAAGTTTTCGCGTTGTTTTCGCGTGTTTTTCGAAAGCCGCTCGTTAATGACTGTCTCTTCGCTTTCTTCTGATGTGTTTTGATGTTTCTGTTACTTTTCTTTACTGAATCTTGTTTACTTTTTCATATTTTCCCTCAAAAATACGCTATGACATATTAAGCTGCCAATAAATGGGGGTCGGTTTCGGACCATAACCTAGCGGTCGGTTTCGGACCACCACGACCTTTTCTGATTAACTGCTCGGCATTAACTAAAGACGCAAAGAGCGATGTAATTCTAATTATGTGAGTGAAAGCTAGGACTATCAACGATCAGAAAAATTTACTCTCCGATTTTTATGCGGAGAAAAAAAATTTAAGCTCAAGTTCAGTAAAGCTCAAAAATAAATGTCACAGGCGTTGAAACAAAACAAACGGAAAAATTGCAGTGAAACAAAATAAGTCAAAGTGGCTATCTATCTCCAAAATGTCTGTGTTATAACAGCTTTTCACTGAAGTTACCGACAATTCGGCTAGCATCGCCATCTCTGAGAAACATGGGGGGTCGGTATGGTACGACCGGTCGGTATGGGACCACCCTCCCCTACCTTTTTTTTTTCAAAAAAACGGAAAAAATTTTTTTGCTGAATCCTAAAGTATATCCCCTAGAGAACATTTTCCCAAAATTTTTAAGAGATCCGAATAATAGTTCGATAGGAAAACAGCGTTTTGAGGCGCGGTTCGTCACTCTTTGTAACGCAACGTAAAACTTTGAATGCGATTATCTCGAAGTCGTTTTTTTCCAAAAGTGCCTTTGCTGTGACCGCGATTGCACAAGAACTATTTGATCGATCTTCTTCAATTTTTTTTTAAATATTCGTAATGATTGTGCCGAGTTCGTCATTGAATCAATTTTTATGCGCCAATTTCGATTTTGCAGATAAGAAATTTTTAATAAAATTTTTAGAGCTCGAAAAATCAATTTTTTGAACAAATTGTTACTGTATGCAGAAAAAACCAAATATTCTTGAAGTAATTCAATGACGAACTAGAAATAATACTAAACTAATAAAAATTTTTTGGTTTATTGATTTTAGTTGACCCGCTGGACTTCCATGTGGTCACCGCAAGCCGCTATAAAAAAAATAGGGTTATGAGAGAATTGCCATAACTTCGAAAGTTTTTTATATTTTTTTAAGATTAAACGTTTATTGTGTCTATAAAAACATGTACTATCAATAAATAATAACCTCAGTATCATAAAATAATTGCTTCACACATGAAAAAAAAATCCAAAGTTCCCTCATTATTTTCGCTCAAAAAGGTATATAACCCCTTAATGACTTTTTGATTTGTAGTCTTTAATATATTTTCTATTGATTACACATACTTTTCACGAAAACTGTTTTTATAAATTTTAATAAGGAGAATGTTTCTTAATAATAACTTACTAATAGGTAAAGCAGTATCTATTTTAAATTCCAGGTAATAATTGTTTTATTGTTCTTTTTTATTCTGTTGCGAAATAATTTCTTAAAATATTATGACAAGTAATTGTATGAAAAAAGCACAAAAACCCTTTACTTTTCTTTCATGAAGTCCACCAAAAAGAGTCCTTCAGTTAATTCCTCTTACCATTCAAGCAAATTTTTCCAGATTGTAGCACTTTCAGGACTCTTCTCCACTAGAAAGCTCAACTAACTGCGAAATTGTTTGGCAGCCAGAGAAAGAACTGACAGAGAAAGGACCATCAGAGGACATGGCACAGATAAGACCGCCAACTTGTTTGCTTAATAAATAAACTTTATATTCATAACTGAAAAAGTTTTGCAACATTCCTCCTGCCATTTCCCTTGGCGAAACAAACGTGGCCGCTAATTTGCGTGCCAAAAAGTTTTCGGCGCTGAATAGTATGCTACGAAAATTGGCAAACATCAGGAGGAGTTTGTAGGCGCGGCAAAACTACGCGACGGCATTTCCGTTGCCACAGCGGCAAGGCAGATCATAAATTATACGAGCGTTTCCGCATCAGGATCACTTAGAAAAAAAAGGGCAAGCTCACTGCATAAGCAATTTATAAGATTTAGTTGAAAGATTACCCTGAATAAATGTAACAAAATCCGGAAAATCAGTTAAATAACAATATTTAGATTAAAGTTTTTTATGGAAATGTAATATGTATTGCAACAATGTTGATATAGAATTAAATTATTAAATTAAATTTAGATACGATTTTTAGTATTTTTTACTATTAATTACTCTCGTTTTCAGTTCGCACCAAAAATGTTATTATGGGGAATTAATCCACATTCAACTAACTTATCCATTTTTTAGTATTTAATGAAACTAATCAGACTATTTTTTTCAGTGCCGTCTTGCTCTGGCTTTTCTCAAGACGCTATCTGAACCGCAACAAGGGCCTCTCGCTAATCACAAAAGTTTTCGGTTTTCAGCTACCTTCAATGCAAACTTGGAAATGGAAGGAAGAGGGGAAATGGGGAAAGGGGCCGATAAACTTACGGGTTAAATACCCTTTTGGCCCCTCACTGCTTAAGTCTGATTAACAAGACATAATTACTTTCGCATTAAGCAGCTGCCTAATAGCTTGTGTAATTCCCCAACTGCCAAAAAACCGCTAATCAGCTCATCAGACACAACAAACTAAAGAAAACAACATTTTATATTTCAAATTACAAGATACAAAATACAAAAAAGGCACCTCAACAACGGTGGCAGCAAAGTGAAATGAAATGTACGGCAAACCACTCGAAGATAATGAAAGTGCATTGAGGCGGCAAAAGTCGGGGAAACAGTATCAGGTCGAGTGCGAACATTTTTCCATTATGCAACGTGCCACATTCTTTGCCGTTCGGTAAAGAAAAACGGAATTGCTACAGGATGATCGACTAAGAAGTTGCCTTTAATATAAAATATATAGAAAACTATATAAATAATAAAATGGAATAGTAGGAATATTTAATAAACATAAAATTTATGAACATTTATAAATAAATATTGAATATTGAAATAAATAAATAAGTTAAATAATTGATTCTTACATCAAATAAATAAAATCTATGTGCAAATCCCTTATTGGTTAACTTAATTAATTTTTTTTATTTTAAAGATTTACTTTTTTAAGGTTTTATTCATCTTTACCTTTATTGTTGCTTTAGGTTGGGATTCAAACATATATCATATCATATGTTTTATGTAAATGTTTGGATAATGTTAAAACAAGGCTTTTAATTTAAATCAGAAATTTTATCCTTGGGCATAACTAGTATTAATAAGCATACATACATTTCTATAATACCCCTTTCAAAAACTTATTCCACAGGGTATAAACTCAGGCGTGAGTGCAGGTCGACCTGGAAAAATGCAACGTTTAAACGCCTGCGGTGAAATGTCTGCCGTTCGTTGGTTGGTGGACCACTCTCCTTTCCCCCAGGATCCGCTTCTATATCCTGATGAGAAAACGCTTCTATAGCGGACGTATATACTCGTATAGAGGGTTAAAGGCCGGATCCGTTTGGACCTCAGCCAGCCAGTGACAACGTGAGCTCGACAACGGAAAGTGTGATTATATTTTCATTTTCAATTTTTTACGGCCAATTAATTTGGCAATTGACGCTTCGCTGGTCGTCTGCTCTCTGCTGGATATATACGTGGATATATATGTATATATGCAGCAACCCGACGTTGTTGCAAATTGAGTTGTGTGGCAAGAATAAGAAAAGTCTATTATAGTCACAGGATGGGTTGCCTGCCAGCTATTTGGTCCCTGCATTGTCTGGCCATCCTGGCATCCGCTTGTTCTGTGGGCGGCCATTGTTTGGGGGCGTGGCATCCGCCTGTAATCCCTACCAGCTCCCATTTCATTGGCATCCCCTTTCCCCTAACTCCCTCCCTTTCCCCGATGGACATGCAATTTGCATTGAAATTGTTTTTCGAAATTAGAAAAGCCAGTCAGGTGAACGGGAGCGGGGTGTGAAAAGCGATAAAACGATGACTAACCAACTTGGGCGAAAATCGAGAAAAGTGTCAATTCCAATAAGGAGAAAATTGCAGTTTTGGGAGAGCCATTAAAAGCCTGGTTGATAGATACTTCCTTTGAGCCTAAAATAAGACTTTTCGAATTGGAGCTTTTAAATGGAGCGAAAGTGTGAGTCAATTAAGCCAAGTTTAAAATCCTTTTGGGTTTATTCCATCGAACCTTGTTTTTAGATTTCAATTCCTTAAAATCTCTTATTCTCCTTAATATAAATTCAATAAAAAAACAGACTTTTAATGCTTTTTTGCATCGCTTGCGAGGACTTTAATAACAAGTATAGATAAATTGGTTACAAGAGTATTTAACATGCTGCTATTGTATAGTGATTTAACTTCGATTGACTTAATCTAGGGTTCGTTATGGGTTTTTCAGAAGGGTCCAGTTTCAATAGCTTGTCCTGTCGATCGGTTGTTGGTTGAAACTTCCTAACTGGGAATCTTAGTTCTCCTGGATGATGACCACATCCTGCAGCAGGACATTGGACAGTTGCAGCAGGCTCTGCTCATCGCGGATGGGACGATCGAGGGGGTAACCCAGTGGGCGGACATCCCGCAGGGAGGCGGATCCAATGCCAATGCTGACTTCGGGAACGATTTCCTGCTCCTGTTGGTCGAGGGGGGAAACCACCACCAGGACCTGCATGGGCAGACCCTCGGCTCTTCCGCGTGGCAACAGCAGATGCTCGGGGAATCGTCCATTTTCGCCAACGAGTTCATGAACACCGAAAACCTGTTTTCCTTGGTTCTTCAGCTGCAGCATCACTTGACGGTAGATCTCGCCCAGAGGAGTAACATCCTGTTTGGTCCAGGGGATGTCATTAGACCTCTGCTGCACGCGATTGCGTCCCGACTGCAACTGCACATTGATGGCATCCAGGAGGACAAAGTCACGTCGACGCTCGTCCAGCGAAACTCCTTGTCTGCCCTGCTGATCCTCTGCGGGTCCCAGGAACACACGAACTATGGCCTCCTGATCGCGATCCGAGGTGATGTCCATGTCGATGGTGAAGTCCCTGCTGATCAGACGTCGCTGGCGACCCACAATCTCCTGCTGGACTCGCCGATCCTGCTGCTCCTCCACCAGGTTGCTTAGATCCAACTCCTGCTCCTCGATGCGAGTGCGCAATTTGTCCACGCGGACATCGTTGATGGTAACACCGCGCATTTGGAGTTGCTCCTGGCGATAGGCTCCCAGGATCTGTTCGCGTTGCTGGTCCACGATCCTCACAATCCGACGGAGAGTGTGCTGCACCACGGGATCGCTGAGGCGGATGCCCAAGCCATTGCGATCGATCTGCTGGCCATTGTTATCCTGAACCACTTGGCGAATGATGCTCATGATGCCCACTTGGCCAACGCGACCGAGCAGGACATCGGCAATCAGGGATTCCAACTGGCGTTGGTCCTCCAGCTGACCACGAAGGGAGTTTACGTTAACCTGGTTCAAGACCTGACCAATCACCTCCTGGAGACTCCTCTCGATTTGGCCAATCTGCGAGAGCACCTCGCGATTGCGCTGAGAATCAACGCGGATTTGGTTCAGTCGGAGGGCGTATCGCTCGGATTGCGTCAGGCGGGGATTGTTGATGAGCTGCTGCTGCTGTCCCAGTCCTTGGTCGATCCTCTCACCCTGGGAGATGGCCTCCTGGTTGAGACGGGCCACCAGCTGGCGGAGATTGTGCAGAAGGATTTCGCCACGTCGGCTGTTCTGCTGGCGAAGATTGGATTGCTGGCGGAGGCTGCGACGGCTTCGCACTCGGCGTTCAACATCCTCGTCATCATCATCATCGTTTTCATCATCATCGTTAATGTTTCTTTGCTGCTTCTGCTGGCGGTTCCTCTTGAGCATATCAAGGATCTCTTCGTCACTCATCAACTGCAGGCGGCCATCGCCGCGGATCAGTTTTAGGATATCCTCATCCTGGATGGGACGATCGAGGACTCGACGACCCTCGCCAATGGAGCCAATGCGACGGGGGTGATCCTTTGCTGCTGCTGGATGTCCAGGTTGTTGTCCTGGTCGAGGCGTCGGCGGTTGATGTGCACCAAACTCTCATCATCGCGATTTACAGTCTCCAACTGATCCTGTTGGACTCCATAGCGACGTCCTTGTCTTTCGTTCTGGAACTGGTTCTGGTACTGGTTCTGGTACCGGTTCTGGTACTGGTTCTGGTACTGGATCTGGTTCTGGTAACGGTTCTGGTACTGGTTTTGATAACGGTTCTGTACCTCATCGTCCTGGTTGGAGTATTGACGTTGAACTCCAAAGATGCGATCACCTCGCACCAAACCCAAGAAACGCTGGCGCTGATTCTGTTGCTCCTGCTTCTCCTGCTCCTGTTGGATGGCATTCAGTCGACGGCGGCTCACATGGAGCAGTCGGTCACTGTCCACATTCACAGTGGGCAGGTCACGAGCTCCTCCTCCAATGCGAAGACCTCCTTGGCTATAACCTCGTTCCAGTTGCACGCGTCCCCTGCGAACATCATCATCGTTGTCATCGTCATCATCATTATCATCATCGCGGCGCAGGGTTCGCTGGAAACGATCCCTCTGGTTGCCAAATACATTCTGGAGCTGATCCTGCTCCCGATCCTGTTCCGGATCCTGCAGACGACGACGGTTCACGCGAAGCAGACGGTCACTGTCGATATCCTGATCCAATTCCCTCTGCCTGTTGTTATATTGGCTTTGACGACCAATCAATTGCTCCTCTTGATCCCTGTCGATTTGCTCCACCTGGTTGACATCCTCCAGCAGGGCCACTTCCTGGATGAGATTCTGGACAAAGTTGCGCAGGTCAATGTCTTCGGTAAGCAGGGAAGTTCCTTCGATTTGTCCGGGGGTCTCGGCACGAATAACCACTCGCTTTTGGCCCACAAGGTTCTGCTGTTGTTGCAACTTCTGTTGCTGCAACTGCTGCTGCCTCATGAGAGCCATCTGCATGTGGATTCCACGCCAGGGCATCAGGATGCTCATCACGGGATTAATGCCACGCTGTTGCGGCACCACAATGTCCATGAGCGAAGGACGCTGGGATTGCTGCCTTAGAACTCCGCGAACCTGATCGACAACCTCTTCGTCCAAAACCAATTCGGGCAGCAATTCCTGGACAGCGGGCACAATCAGGTTGCGAGTGTCCTCGCGATCCCGGATGGCCAAGGACAAGGCATTCACCAGCAGTACGGGATTGATATTCCTTCTGAGGTAGACAACATTGCGACGCAGGGTATCGAAGTCCTGGGAGCGAACCAACAGGCGGTAAATGCCACGCAGCTGTTCCACATCCTCCAAACGAGCAACGGAGTAAACCTGGTGCTCATCCAGAAGACGACGCTGGCGATCCAAGTCAATGACGCGCTGCATTTCCCCGTCGATTCCACCGCGATAACGCTGGCTGTCCACAATCAAACCCTGATCCAATTGGATGAGTTCGTTTTGCTGCAGAGGCTGGCGGATATTCTGAACGATGTCCAGGATGAACTTCTGTCGCTGCAGATCCTCCAAGGACATGCGGTCTGTGGAGAAAAATAATTAGATTCTGGGATCCCCAAAGGGGAAAGAAAACTTTACCAATACCCTGAATCCTTTCCGGATTCACAGCTATCCTTCCAGCAGCCACAAGGCCAGCAAAGGCCACCAACAGCAGAATCCTGATCATCTTGCTGGTTAATCTCTCCTATTGATTGAGAATTACTGATCCTGGTTGAAGGAATCTGATGGATTTAGCTTGCTAGAACACAGACCAGCAGGCAACTGCATTTTCCACTCGATTCGCCGAAGCTTTTATACCCGAAAAACCCATTATCACGAAGTGCATCCCATAGGCCTATCGCTTGACTCCCGGATTGGGTTGAATGCCTTTCGCCAGGCAAAAATATGTTTATCAGCCAAAGAGAGACTGTTTAAAAAAACCGCATCATCATTATGCAATTAAATTGTTGTTGTCACAGTAGATTGTTCCCGAAATCGGTGGGGCAATAGGTACTTGGACTAAATCTGTTTTGTGGGTCACATGACACTCGATCTATCTTAATTGGTTCAATGATCTCAAAGTCTTTTGACTTTTGTTTGCTACACGTGTGTTTGTTGGCTCTTTTTCGAGCAAACAATCTGCAAAGTGCATTGGCAATTTACAGAGAAAGTTTCTTAAAATTAAAATTATATTAAATGTAAGATTTTAAATGTGTATTCATTACAAAAATTCCATTGCTGATAAGCACAAGGAAGAAAACAACTCAGCATGGAATAATTTTTCTTCGAACTGATAAGTAATAGAATTTATGAATTTTGTTTATGTGCATAGAATCAGCATAATCCGAGTAGGGGTCATCTATTTGACAAATTAATACGGTCATAATGCTAATGTCGCAGCTATTTAATTTGCACAATTGCTAATTGTATGTTTAATGGTATGTGCTTAGAACTTATAAAGGAAATGCAGTATACAGTATATTCTATTTTTCGTACATTTCTTTTTGGAATGGTTATCATATTATCACAACTCATAAAATCATTTTTTATTAAGAATCTTAGATTTTATCTTTCAAAAGATTCTTAAACACAAATGCAAATAGATTTCAAGTGCAACCCAAAAATGAACCAATGTGGAGTGAGGAGCCCCAAAATGAAGGCCACGTAGCATTTGGCAGCTTCATTGTTCGCGTGAGTGAGTGATTGGCGATTGTGAAAGGATAAAGGATTGCAGTGGGCGGGAGAGCAATGCGGGCGAGTCGATGCAATTTTTCTATTCACATTTAAATTGGCAATTCGTTTGTCCGTGGCTTTTGTGTTCGCCAACCGATTTTTGTTGCCATTTTTTTGGTTGTCTGCGCTGCGACAATTTTGCAACGTGCCTGGCATGCAACGGAAGTAAAAAGCGCTACGTGGGTGGCCATAGCTTAGATATTCCTAGGGATGTGATATAACCCAAAGAAAACACCGATGTCGGCAATCATTTTCAATGGCTTGTATAAAACATTAAAGAACAAAAAACTTTGGAGTTTAAATAATTTGAAGGGGATAAATGTATTAAAGTTGAAAATCTTTTTTGATAATCTGCTCTATAAATCTGTTAACTAAATAATGAGAAAAAGTTCTCAGATCATGAAACCGCTTTAAAATAAATATTGTTCCATTATATTTTCTTTTTATGCGAGTATATACATATATATAACGAAATAGACTTGTCCCTGAAGGAGCTCAAAATTAAAATTTGAATCGTTGATGTTGATCATCTCTTCTTAATATTTTTTCTTAAGTTTCGAATTTACTAACAATTATAGTTTAAACACAGGAACGATAATAAAATGTTGTTATTTTAGTCCATCCCTAGTGGACTTCACTTTAATGATCGTTGCTGCTGTGCTTCTGTTGCCTTTTCTAATGTAATTGCAATTGTTTGCCAGCTCCGGCCGGCCATTCATCCTCTAGATTCCACCAGCCAGAATGCCAGAATGCCAGAAAACGAGCACTAGAAGCGACTTTGATTTGCCTCTGCTGCATTTTACACGCTTTTTGCCACTTGCCATTTTTATGCATGCCAAGCGCATTTGTGCGGCATTAATTGCTTCTTTATGCCGCCTGCTCCCTGCTGCATGTTCAGCAATTATGCAGCTACAATTTCGCATTAATTGCTCCTTTGTGCCGCCGGTGGTGTCCTTTTTGCACCCACTGTAAGCCGGTTGGGAAAAAAAACACACACATTCCGGCATTGTGAGTCGGTGCATTTACGCCGGAGTCGCCGGCTGCTCGGTTTAATTGCTCCCGGCCTCGGACATCGGATGGAATGCGCTTTATGTGCATAGTAATGCCATCGCCATCGATTGTGCCACAATTTGCATTATTTGAGGATTGGACTCCGGCATTGGTCTCTGGAATCCTGGTTTTTATCCTTTGTGAAGTTCCGTTCTCAACCATTGGTATTTTTTTCAGGCTCAGCTCGCTATTGCTTTAATAACAATTAATACAAAAAAATACAGTACGTAGTGTTCAATATAATATGCAAGTTCAATTCTTGGTTCGTTACTCCCATTTACGCTGTTTCCAAGCGGTCGGTATAATCTCTCAAGTTTGTTGGGCTGTCAAAATAAGAACATATTATATATGCCTAGGCTTCTTATCTCTGTTCACCTTTAAGAATACATCGAATAGTATCTTTCTGGACTTAATCATTTTAAAATTTACTTTAAAGGGAGAGCTCTAATAACCCATAGGTAAAGCAGGTTTTCTGGTGACCAAATACAATCAAATTGAAATACAAATATATTTAAAAAAATACACGTTGTAACTTATTTAATTTAAAAAATAAGTGCAGAGCTTTTACCACCTCTTGTTATTGGTTCTTTCACGCATTTAAAACATAATTCCAATAACATTAAAAATGCCAGATATGAATATTTTGTTTAAATAAATCTGTGGTACATCTAATACTTAAAAAATTATAAGAGGTTAAGAAATAACCCCAGGGCTTCCATTTTAAAGGAAATTCAATGAATTTTACATCCTAAATGTGTTTTTAATGCTTAAACTTTCCTTACATTTCAATATGCATCAGAGAAGGGTTAAAAAATTTTAGAAGTGACTTCCGCGACACTTCCAGAAGTGACTTCCGAGCCACCCCCCAGAAGAGACTTCTGCGACACTTTTAGAAGTGTCTTCTGGAAGTGTCGTGGAAGACACTTCTGGAAGTGTCGTGGAAGACACTTCTGGAAGTGTCGTGGAAGACACTTCTGGAAGTATCGCGGAAGCAAGTTCTGGAAATGTCGCGGATCTTTCGAAAGACCTTAAAACCCCAATGTGGAGTGGGGAGCCCTAAAATGAAGGCCACGTAGCATTTGGCAGCTTCATTGTTCTTCCAGAAGAGAAGCGAAAGACTCTTCTGGAAGAGTCGCCGAAGCCTCTTCTGGAAGAGTCGCGGAAGACTCTTCCGGAAGAGTCGCGGAAGACTCTTCTGGAAGAGTCGCGGAAGAGTCTTCCGGAAGAGTCGCGGAAGAGTCTTCCGGAAGAGTCGCGGAAGAGTCTTCCGGAAGAGTCGCGGAAGAGTCTTCCGGAAGAGTCGCGGAAGAGTCTTCTGGAAGAGTCGCGGAAGAGTCTTCCGGAAGAGTCTTCCGGAAGAGTCGCGGAAGAGTCTTCCGGAAGAGTCGCGGAAGAGTCTTCCGGAAGAGTCGCGGAAGAGTCTTCCGGAAGAGTCGCGGAAGAGTCTTCCGGAAGAGTCGCGGAAGAGTCTTCCGGAAGAGTCGCGGAAGAGTCTTCCGGAAGAGTCGCGGAAGAGTCTTCCGGAAGAGTCGCGGAAGAGTCTTCCGGAAGAGTCGCGGAAGAGTCTTCCGGAAGAGTCGCGGAAGAGTCTTCCGGAAGAGTCGCGGAAGAGTCTTCTGGAAGAGTCGCGGAAGAGTCTTCCGGAAGAGTCGCGGAAGAGTCTTCCGGAAGAGTCGCGGAAGAGTCTTCCGGAAGAGTCGCGGAAGAGTCTTCCGGAAGAGTCGCGGAAGAGTCTTCCGGAAGAGTCGCGGAAGAGTCTTCCGGAAGAGTCGCGGAAGACTCTTCTGGAAGAGTCGCGGAAGAGTCTTCTGGAAGAGTCGCGGAAGAGTCTTCCGGAAGAGTCTTCCGGAGGAGTCGCGGAAGAGTCGCGGAAGAGTCTTCCGGAAGAGTCGCGGAAGAGTCTTCCGGAAGAGTCGCGGAAGAGTCTTCCGGAAGAGTCGCGGAAGAGTCTTCCGGAAGAGTCGCGGAAGAGTCTTCCGGAAGAGTCGCGGAAGAGTCTTCCGGAAGAGTCGCGGAAGAGTCTTCCGGAAGAGTCGCGGAAGAGTCTTCCGGAAGAGTTGCGGAAGAGTCTTCCGGAAGAGTCGCGGAAGAGTCTTCCGGAAGAGTCGCGGAAGAGTCTTCCGGAAGAGTCGCGGAAGAGTCTTCCGGAAGAGTCGCGGAAGAGTCTTCCGGAAGAGTCGCGGAAGAGTCTTCCGGAAGAGTCGCGGAAGAGTCTTCCGGAAGAGTCGCGGAAGAGTCTTCCGGAAGAGTCGCGGAAGAGTCTTCCGGAAGAGTCGCGGAAGAGTCTTCCGGAAGAGTCGCGGAAAACTCTTCTGGAAGAGTCGCGGAAGACTCTTCTGGAAGAGTCGCAGAAGACTCTTTTGGAAGTGTCTCGGAAGTCACTTCTGGAAGTGTCGCGGAAGACAATTCTGGAAGAGTCGCGGAAGACTCGTCTGGAAGTGTCGCGGACGACTCTTCTGCAAGTGTCTTCCGCGACAGTTCCAGAAGTGTCTTCAGCGATTCGCTGAAGCTTTTATACCCGAAAATCCCTTCCGGAAGTGTCTTCCGCGACACTTCCAGAAGAGTCTTCCGGATAGGATATAAAATGAAATCGAGAATATACCCTACGAACATTAATATCTTCAAAATAAAGTTAGATATACTCTCGGGTAGTAAGTTAGTGCTTTTTTAACCAAAACCTATTTTCCCACAGAACCAATTTGATGTACGGCTTCAATTTCCTTGTCTGGCTTTTTGCCGTGCGATCTATTCGCGACACCCAGTGTGGCTTTAAGTTATTTACTCGAACTGCGGCCAGAAAACTCTTCACTAGTCTTCACGTCGAGCGGTGGGCCTTCGATGTGAAGCTGCTTTACCTTGCCGAGAAGTTGAAGCTGCCCGTGTCCGAGGTTGCAGGGGTTGCTGGGATTTGTTCATGATCTGGCTGCGTTGTCTGGTCGGTGCCTGGCGTATTGCGTCTATACAGAAAAATAAAACTGAATTGGACGTGGAAGGACTCTTATTTCCAATACTAACTACCATTTTGTGTCGAAACTGCTTCGCTGTCCTGCATTACCAAAACACTTTTAACATTAAACTAAATTTTTGTAGGTCCCCTAAAGTGTAAAGAATACTAACTAGTTCATTACTTAAGTAGGTACAGTATTTTTTAAAATAGAAAAGAAAATTTGGAAAACAGAGCGTTGAATAAAATGGCACACCAACATTACAGTACATCGCAGAGTAAACATTTAAGCATACAAAACTCACCTTGAGAAATACCTAGTGATAAGCTGTAAGGAATCGAGGACGCATCCTTGTCTCGACTGCCAGTTGTCCTTGTTCTTCCGTTAAAGTCTGAACGAAGTCAAGTCGAAGTGGTGGATGTTTTTGGCTTCAGGATTCCAGCTTTTGGGATTCGGTTTCGTTGTTGGCTTTGTCGCCGCTCGCTTTGACTTAAATGCGATTTAATGCCTTTTTTGTTTGTCTTCCATGCGTCGGAAATCCGTTCGACGAGCTGTGGGCGTGATAAACCGCATCCTCCCCTCAGCCACCCACCTCCCCCGCCCACTTTCTAGGCTGCTAATTTGCTTGGCGTTGTTTTTTTTTATGTCCCAACTTCGCCTTGGCGTCTTAATCTTATATCCTTTTTGCGTTTTCCTTCTTTTTTTTCGGCTGGCTTGGCATTAAAAAAAAAAAATTGTGCGTCCTTTGTTGCGCTGATAAAAGTGCTTACAAATGCTTAAAAAATTAAAATTTATTACATGCGATTAAGTTGGTTGCCATGGCCTCTCGACCTTTTGCGAATGGAATTGCCTAAAAAATGCAAATGGAATGTCATCGCTTTGGCGGTTCAACATATTTCCGGGCATAACTTTTTGGCTGTGGACATTGGCCAATTGATTCATGGCCACACAATATCCTTTGCGTAATGGTCTTTCTGGGCCATCTTAAACAGTCAGCACTCAGCAGTCAGCAAAATGAAATGGAATGTGAATGGTGGCCGGGAATGAAAGAAAAAGTACAGCAAATAAATATAAATATAGTAATAATGAAGCATTGGGCCAAAAACGAAGAAGAAAAGCCAAAGTCTGCTGCCAAAAGAAAATATTTCTTTTTATCACAACGGATGTGAGTGTGCCAGGACTGAAATAGCAAAGGATGGAGAAAGGACAGGAGGCGGAGTCGCCGGCTGCTGGAAGTGGAAGTGGCGATAGAGTGGAGATAGAGGGGGTGGTGGGTGGTTGGAGGTCGGGGTTACCTCCGCTGGCATCCTGTCAAATAAAACAAAAAATTCCCTGCCTCGAGTAGTGTGATTCTAGAACTTGGTTGGGTTCAATGCCGAAAGGAAGGGAATAGCATTCGCTGTTTTATACACGCAGAAAAAGAATTTGATATCTTAAAAAGCAAAGAGTTTAAAAAACCAAAATAACATTTATTTATATTTTTTTTTTAAATACATACATATATATTTTTTATTTAACAAAAAAGTGAAAAAAGTGAAAGAAAGTGATAACAGAAAAAAGAATGAAATACTTTGTCATTGTTGCAAGTAGTTTAATATTATAACTTTGTTCCATCTTTCATTTGAAAAAAAACAATAACCATGAAATTTTAGAAAATTAACAAAAAATTTACAGTACATTTTTCTGTCAAACATCTTTCGATTATTTATAACTGTGTAAGTTTTTCACCGCGATTCTCACACCCATTTTGAACACTACCCCGCCCACTGGCCACTTCCTCCATACAAAGCAAGTCAAACAAACTTTTATTTCACACGTTTTCGCTCTGCTATTTTTCTCCCCCAGCGAATCGCTTTCAATGTTTTTATTTGTCTTGAAACAAGTGAGTATAGCGAGATGATACTGGTATACTGGAGATCGGGGTTGAAGGTGGGGGTTTATAGTCGCACGTGCTGCGCGTGTCTGTTAGTTTTGATAGCCAGTTGACTTTGTTTCTGGAAGCCACCCATTCGGTTGACCCGTTAAATTTTTGGGTAATTGCTGCATTAGAGCGTCGACTCCTTTGGGAGAATACTTTTTAGAGCCTGTTTACCATAAATATATTTTTTGAATCCCTTTGAGTTTTTGAGGAATATACCAATCCAAAATTGGATATCATTTAGAAGAGTTCTGTGCTTTCAAGTGCAGGGTTTTGACGATTTTTGGAATAATTCATTTTTCGGATTGTCAGTTTTTACCATTGTATTAAAAGTTGACATTTTTATAAAAACAATTATCAAAAATTAAAAGGGGTAGCAATAGATTTTTAAAAGTAGAAAAGCCTTTAGCTAGCCTTAAGCCTTAGCCTTAAGCTATCAACATATTGCTAAAGAACTATTTTTAGTTCGATTAATACATTGGTTCCGTGTATGCAATTTAAATTTTAAGGATTTTAGTCAAGGATTTTTAACAAATAAAAAAAAAGAACTTCATGACTTTGAGTTATGGTATTTAAAATGCATTATACTTTTGGGAGCAGTGCTTAAAACTCAATTTGATTCAATTACGTCTCATGGTGAACTCAAAAGCATCTCGGCAATTTGTAAGTAGAGCAACTTCATAGATTGCTCTCTTGGGGGTTGCTCTACTTCCCCTCCCAGTTCCATTCGGCAAATATTGTTGTAGCATTTCATAGAGTTTCGCACAAGTGATTTGGACAGAATGGAGCGGCTGCCAGGTCCTTTGTCTGTGCTTTGCTGAGGTCAAAATGCAAACATTAAATGCTTATTCAAGTTCGTGTCTGTGAATGTGGCCAGGACACTATAAAAACGACCTTGCGGCCAACAAAAGGCACGCTGTCTGTGTGGTTGTGGCAATTGGCAGGCAATCAACACTTAAAAAAAACTTTCAATATATGTTAGGAAATGTATTGTTCAATTAATATGGATTTAATTGCCGTCTTATGTTCTTCAATAATTTTTAAAAAATTTAAAGGAATGCCCATCTTGGGTAAAACAATTATAACATACAGCTTAGTTAAAATATTTAATTGTAAACTGCAATTCCCGTACATAAAAGTGTTTTCAATCAAAATGATCCCAAATTTAGTTTACATTAATACAAAGAAAAGATTAGGTTTCTTCGAGAAAAAAGAATTTGCTGTTTATTAAAAATATTAAAATTTTTAAAATTATGTTTGTTATGCCTCCTTACATTTTTAGTTTGTTAATGGTTTTTTCCAAGCTTAAAAGTGTGGCAATGTTTTTTTTTTGAGTGAAAGTCGAAATAGTAGACTGGTAAGTGTGGCAAGGAGGCTGAGTTAGGTGCGGCATCCTTGGTATTTGGCCCTCCTTATCAGCAGTTTCGTTGCGTTGCAGCGTGGCATTTGTGTGACTTTTATGGGCGGCTTTTCAGCTGGTTACGATGCTGTCGCGATTGCTCTGCACCGCTACCCAGTCTTTGAGTCGTCACCCAACCACCACCCAAAAGCACCCAAACCACCCATTATCACCCAAGTCCAATCATAGTGGTGGTTGCTGCTTTGTTTTGCCGAGCGTCAGACAAAAAAGTGTCAATTGTTTTCGGACTGAGCAATATTGACACGCCTCGCCGGTGAGCGATTCACAGTTGGTCGCCTAAACAAGTGGGCGTGAAGGAATCCCATTAAGGAGCATCGCCACCCTTCCGAAGTGGCAGACAATCCTGGCCACCGCCATCCGTTCATCCCCGCGGCGTGTCGGCAATTTAAACTAATAATCATCGCATCAGCAAACATTGTCGTTATTATTCAGAAGCCTGCGGCGTTTGCCACTGACTCTCGCCAGATTGCGAGCTCTGGTTTTCACTCACGCTTTCACCGGGTCTTCAGGTATCAGTGATTGAATATGATTCGAACAACTGTAGTCATCAATCCGCACAGCTTTCGTTTACTATCTATCTAGCCAGTAAAAATCGTTTATTTTCTCACAGTTTTTTAATTAGTGTTCTGCTCGCTTTCGTTTATCACATTAAAGTATAGTTTTACAATCATATATTACATAAAATTGGACATGTTCTCGATGCCTTAACAAATCTAATGCACTAAAGACCTAAAAAGCAATTGGTTTGGGTTCTGGAATTTGTTTGTAGAGTGCGGTGAATCAAGAAAAAAAGGAGTAAAAATAAATTATATAAAGCTTATAAAATTATATGATACTATTAAAAGTTTTAAGCAAAAGTAGGTATAAATGAAAAATGATGTTGGTGAATGTCATTAAACGCACATCCTTAATTAAATTTTCATCTTTCTAAAATAAGAAAGCAAATATATTATTTTGGCACATAAATCGTTATATTGGCACCTTTTTTTAAATAACAAAAAATAACCTAGAAGATCTTAAATCAGAACCCGAAACATAACTCCTGCTGCAACTGAAGACACACACAAATATTCGACTAACACTAAGTTCTAACATTAGGACTTTTAACTTGCGGGGCGGGGTGACCAAGTGGCCGATTCCGTGATGGATCCGCTGGGTATACAATCCATTTATATATCCAATCCCCTTTGGATTATCTCTGCTCTTGCTCACACACTTCAGACCACATGTTCAGCGGATGATGAGTTGCCGGCGCCGAAGCGCAAAGGAGTCGGTCAAATGATGTTCGGCGGACTCGAAGTGGCGGTCACCACTGCATTTGGCGAGGACTTCTCCGACTTGACGCATCCGTAGGAGGAGATTCCGGTTCCACTGCTGCTGGGCGGGGAGGGTGGTGTTTCCGGACTGATCAGCGGCAGATATCGCCACGGATGGTAGATGGACCCGGCGTACATGGCCTGCAGGCGAGCCTGGAGATCCAGGGCCAACGTGGGATCCAGTGGATAGTGGGCGAGTCCGGGAAAGGCGTTCGGTAGGCGGGGCAGGGACAACTCCAGCGGTGAACCAAATCCATACTTGGCACTCAACGTAGCAGCGGCCAGCTGGACGTGATGTGGGTGGGGATGCGGGTGGTGCGGATGCGGTGGATACGACGACTGGTGGGGATGTCCATGCAGGTGGGGCAGCGATTGGCTTAAAGGCGAAAGCTGCGGCTGCATGTCCTTGGGGGAACCCACCGATCCTGGTGCCCCAGAACCTGGGTTACCTGCTCCATTTGCACCACCTCCTGCACCACCAGCACCACCACCACCTCCTCCACCTGGCACCGGTGACTTGTTGAGCGTCTTGGGTTTGCGACGCGGCCGATACTTGTAGTCGGGATGTTCTTTCATGTGGAGGGCCCTGTAAATTGAACAAATGTTGGAACACTGATCAAAAGATCGAACGATTTAAACTTTGATGATATCATAAAGCCAAACACATCTCTGGTCGTAAACCCCAAGCGAAGCGGAACCCTTCTTCCATAAACCCAAACACTTCGAGATACAAAAAAAGAAAAAAAACGCACATGTTTAAGTCTTCTTTTTGTGTATTTAGCAAAGTAACTCCACTCAAGAACTCCAATTCCAATTCCGACTTCGATTCCCTTTCTGATTTCCCAGCTGCAACAATGCGCAATTGTTGACATTTGTTTGACAAAACGATAAAACCTGATAAAAGGTGTGTTTACGTGTGTGTGAGTATGTGTGTGTGTGTGGTTGGGTCTTCTCCTCTTGTTTTACTTTCGCTTTCTTTTCTTTATTTTTTGTTTTCCTTTCTTTGGTCAGTTATGTCTGCGTTATCGCGGGTCCCGAAAATATAAAAAAATATTGTTCTCCTTATCACCGCGCATTGGCAAATATTTGATCAGAATTTTTGGTTCTTTTCATTCGATATGCTCGCTCGAAAACCCCGAATGGCCATTAGTTTAAGCCCCTTCAGACGACGAGCCCTGCTCATTTATAAATGTCATAAAAGGTACATAAAATTACACGTTTCCATTTTGGCAGGCCAATCCAATCAATAAAAGGATTATGACAGTGCAAACACAGAGGTTCGTCATCGCCACTATCTTGGGAAGTGTGGAATACCGGGAAGGTTGCCTCATTTTCTTCTAGCGAATGCAATGCCTAGGTACTCTATTTATTTATTAATGGGTGAACATTATATTTTATGTATTTTTTACATCCTTCAAAGGTTTGTTTTCCTAACACAATAATTACAATATTTAATATCTCGCCATTAGAAGCACTTTTCTATAATTAATATGCAATTTGGGTTTTCCCATTATTCTAAAAGCTAAGGAAACACATAAGCTAAAATCCATACATAAATGTAAAAAGTTTCTAATTTATTTTTACTTTAAAGGGAAATCCTGATAAGTATTGTAACATATCTTTTTATCTCAAGGTGCTAATACCCTTTTTTGATAGGGTACAAAAAGGGGTAAACAAAAAGAAGCAAAATGCAAAATGAATGAAGCATTTCATGCGATGTGTCGTTGTCTCTCGCTTTTGTGTGACAACTTCAATTGAAATGTTTACCCAAGATACGCCAGTGCCAATGAAATTCTGACTAAGTAGAGCGCACACAATCCAGAGCTCCAGAGTTCCAGAGCTCCACAATGCAGCAGGAGCTCCTCACAATAGGGAGCCTTTGTCTTAGCTAATCGATCAAATTTTGTGGCCAGGCGGCACCGAGACAGAATGAGCTGCCAACTGGGAAAAGTGTAACCGAAACCAAGCCAAATTTCCCACACAGAAAAAAAAAAAAGCATATAACCAGACTTAAGATTGGTGATCCTAAAAAACTCACAATTAAAATTTAAATAAATATTTCAATAAAGTTATAAAGAAAATAATGATTTCTAAAAAATAATATCTTTAGATTCTACATAACCAGTTTGATTATTCTTTGATTAAAACATTGAGCACCTTTAATCCCAAAAAGGGAAGAAGCTAACATTAATTTCAAAATAAATAATTCATCATATTTTATTGAACTACTCTTAAGTTCCCTATTGTTCAGTATTCCTCCTGATTGTTTGAATAACTCAAAGTGGCTACTCCTCTCAAAAAACAATATATACTAGAATCCTAATCTCTTTTGTTTCAACTTTCAGTGTATTTGAGCCGGACCTCAGTGAACAGTACTTACCGCAATCGTTTTGCCTCGTCGATGAATGGACGCTTTTGTCCTTCGGTGAGCAATTTCCACTCGGCGCCCAAACGCTTCGATATTTCGGAATTGTGCATTTTGGGATTGTCCTGGGCCATTTTGCGGCGCTGCCCCCGCGACCACACCATGAAGGCGTTCATTGGCCGCTTAATGTGGTCGTGGCTGTGATGGGATCCAGAATTGGAGTTCGAGTTGGAGTTCGGGTGGGAATTGGCACTGTGATGATGGTGGGGATGCGCATGGGAATGGGGATGGTGGTGCAGTTTAGGTGGCACTGGTGGGGCAGTTGTTGCCGCTGGCATGGCGAGGTCAGCCGGCGGGAGCGGTGGTGGTGGTGGCGGTGGTGTTGTGCTGTTTACCGATCCCAAACCACCGGGCGCCATTCCCAAGCCCAAACTGATGCCGGGCAACTGCGGTGAGAGACTGCTGCTGTGGCTGTGATTGCTGCTCCCGCTGCTCGTGTACCCATTGCTGTGGCTGTGGCTCCGGTGGAGCAGTGCCGAGATGCTCGTCATGATTGCAATCGGGCAGTCGGGGCTCCGAATGGGGTGGCAGGTGGTAATTATCAGGTGGGACTGCTGCTCCTCGAGCTCTGAAATGCCAACGGAAATGGTATTCAATAGATATGCCTTGTTGGCTTGGGGACTCTGTTCGTTTGCTGCTCCCTGCATGAGTCATTTGATTGGAACCCTCGCTGGGGGCTAATAGTTTGTTAAAAACTTAGCAAAGGCTTCTCTTTAACCCCTCTTCAATGTTTATCAATGGCGGCACAAGTCGCGAATTTGGTTTTATGACTAATCAACGCAAATATTTAAATTTTATTGAAACCGTTTTGTAGCCGGATATCGGAAATAAATTGTTGTGCAATTTGGGGTTTCCCCTTGAAAGGAATTTTGACTAAATGGTGGTACTGAACACCATGAATCTTGAAAAAAGAGAACCTTATCTGCAAACTCGGAGAAAGAAAATTATGCTAAAGAAATTAATAAGAAAGGATACAAATGTCAGAACTTTCCAATATACTAAAGATATGTTAATTTAAATGCAATCTCTTTATGACTTGGAGTCTCATAAAAAAATTATTTAAAATTAAATTTTCTGTATTATTTCAGACTTAAATTCTTCCGAGGTATTTTTAAGATAAGATGTAAGTTTTCGTTTTTATAAATATGATCTTTTAAATATAAATGTAGTTGATCTTTTATTGCATGAAATAGTTATTATATATTTCTCTCTAGATTATTCAAGACTCCAATTCTTCTAAGGTTAAGATGGTTAGTTTTTGTTTATTTAAATGTGAGCCTTCACTTTAAATGGAGTTTTTCTATTTATTTGGCATTATCAAAGAAGTTTAATTGTATCTTAATGGTTTTATAAATATTAAACCTACCTTGTAAAATATACAATAGATTTTCCTTTTTGTTCTGTCTTATGTTAGTTTTTCATTAAAATGCATGACACTCAAATGATATAACTATTGCACAGTTGTTTAAAATGCGATTGTTGTCTTTTAGTATTTACAACTAATTTTTTAATTTTTCTGATTGCTGATCGATGTTTGATCTTTAAATAATACACAAATTGCACAGTTACAATATTTCCAAAACAGTTTGAGGATTACAGAGATCCCCAATTTACGAACGTGGGTGGTATCTCAACCGTTAGTCTTCCGTTCACCGTTAGCCAAGCGCAACGCGTCCGTTTCGAGTGCGCGACAATTTAGATTTGAAAACACATTCGAAAACTTGCGACAAAAACGGCAAACAAACGCAACAAAAAAGGGGGCAAGAAGAAGCAGTGGGTGTTCGTGTGTGTGAGGGCGAGTGTGTGTCTGTGTAGTGGTTGGTCGCTGCTGCCAAAAAAAGGAACCAAGTGAAAGAGAGAGAGAGAGAGCGCGAGATAACGGGTGCAAGCGAGAAGGCCGTTTCGAGGGAGCGAGAAAGAGAGCGCACTTTTTGTAGAGTTTTTACACCTTCGTAGGACGCGTCAACGTGGCGGCTAAGTGATAAAAATTCGCTGCTGCTGCTTTGTATCTTTGTATCTGCGTTTTGTATCTTATTGACAATTGTCTTCGGTTTGTTTTCGGTTTGTGTACGTGTTTGCATATTTGCTTATCGAACGCTGCTTCTTTTTCTCTCGTCCAGTTTAATATCTGCATTTTTTACTAATATCTTAAACGGAAAATTATTTTTAGTTCCTTTTGTTGTTTTGGTTATTTTAATTTTATTACATTTTATTACAAGGTCGGAATGATCTGTTAAATAATTGGTTTTACAAAGTATTTTACTGTTTATTAGGCGCGTATAAACACAATCGATCAAAAATGTTTGGTAAAGTTGTCCCTTTTTGGCGGATATACTCAATTGCCCTTTTTGTTTGTCTCACTTATCGTACATACAGGAAATTCCCAATTCTCGTTTTTGTTGTTGCTCTAATATCGGTTTCTGTATAAATTTAACCATAAAAATAGTTCTGATCCCTTAATAAAACAACCTCTGAACATTTGCTAAAATTTCTTATAAATGACCCTCTTTATAATTGCCGGGTTCAATCTTCCGTTGAGGAAAGGGCTCCCTTGCCGAGTACTTAGAAATTAGACGGCTCTTCGTGTGTTTACAGTGTAATGCAAACAACCAAATATGTAATACTGCAGGGGTCACAGAAGTAAGTGATTCCAATAATTGTTAATGGCATATTCGATTTTCAGTCTTCATCAATAGCAAAAAATGATTAGATAATTTAGTTTTATGACTTTAGCTAAATTTGTCGTATTAAATTCGACGAAAATTATAAATTGTTGAAGGGATGTAGTAAAAAAAAAAAATTTGGTTTTATTATTAACACTATTTTAAAGCGTTCATTAAATTGTACAAAGTTTATATTTCATATTTAATATATTTAAATATAAATATTTAAGTATGTATATTCAATATATATAGTCGCATATTAATTATTTATTATTATTTATTTTAATTAATTTTGTATCTTATTGAAAAAAAAAAAATCGATTGACAAAAAGGTAAAAACATCTTTTAATCCCAAGTTATTTTCTAAAATTGTTAATATTTACCAGTATAAAAACATAAAACATTTAAAGAATACGCGTTGCATTCTTAATTTAAATAACAACTGTTGGCGCCATAAAAAGATATCTCCTTGAAGGGTTGTTTTGCGCAGGCGTCGCTCTCCAAGCGCTCGTCACTTTTGGAGAGTTGTCACCCCCAGCACTTCCCTCCTTGACTTTTCCACCAAAACAAATGCTAAGTAGGAAACGCATTTGGCGGCTTTTCCCCCCTCGCCATCGTGTAACAATAAAAATGGCAGCGCTCTAGAAATGTGTGTGTGCTCCCCAAACCCCTCAAAATCCCCAACCCCTTAAAATACACCCCCAAAACACCCGCTGCCACCCCCTCAAACCCCCTGAAAAGTGCGCGCATGTCGATTTCAGGCGCTTTGGACCAATGGCGTAGACAATGCTTCGGAATGTAAAAACCGTAGAATGGGGAACGCTGCTTAGAAGCGTTCTCAATGGTGACGCGTTTTTTATCGCTTTTTGTTTTGCATGCGAATTGAATGCATTTTATTGGCCAAAAGCCAGAACAGACGGGCCCAAAACAAAAGGCGCAGCAACTGGTGGTCCTTTGCGAGGACTTTGGCAAAGAAAGAAGTGGAGCCTTATCGTCGGCTGGCAGAGCAGCTCACTCCGTTGGGATGGCAGGATATTTAGCTCGGGGACCCCGACATTCTTCATTTGTTCACACTTAATGGACATTATGGCTGGCCCTATTATGCGGTCATCTCGCAGCACAATGAACAGCAGGAAGGCCCGGCAGTAGAAATAATAGATGAGGGAATGTGTCTCACAAGCCCTCTCACTTGGGAATTATAAATCTTTTCTGTAAATGGGAACTAGCTAAAAAAATGTTAGAAAATGTTCCTTTATTTCTTATTAATTAGTTTTTTATGTCTTATTTTTTTGATATTTATTGATTTTATAAGAGTCGAAATTCAACAAACGTTAAACCTTATATTATTCTTTGTGACATTTATGCACAATTTGGGGCATTTAAATTGTATACCCCAAACTGAAATAAAAAATAAAAAAATGATTGTTTTTTTTCTTAAAATTTGTACTATCATAGCTAGAAAAAGCTATATGTCTATATCCGCAACTCAATCCCAGCAAGGCAACTCCGACATCCCCACCACACTGAAGTCATAATTTTGGGTGTTTTTGGAATGACCCAACCATAGACCATCGTAGCATTGTTTGACTCCGTTTAGTTGCAATAATTTATGGTGGGGATTTTAACGGCACAACGTCACACACATTTTTTGCATACTTCGGCAGACCCTCTGTCTCTCTATCTCTTTTTTCCCCTCTATTTTTGTGGTCGCGCTAATCGTGATTTGTGTTTTAAATGAGTCTAAATGCTGAGCAGTCGAACAAGGTGACTGATAAGAGAGAAAAGTGTGGCTAGTGAAAGGTAGGAAATGTTAGTGTTACAATTCTTGTTTTGAACAGCTATACTTTTTGATAAGTGTACTGTTTATGTAACTTTCCGAAAAAGCAAAAGATAAAAAAGTGTTATTGTTCGTTTTAAAAAAGTTTATGTGGTGTACATTTGGAAAATCCATTTATTGAAATCAATTTGTTAGAAAAGCTGTAAAAATGGGTTACTTGAACTAAAAAAACAAATCGGCAAAAACTAAACAATTACTTTCAAAAGATTGACTCAACAATTTTTACCTTCTCGAATGTTTACTGTAGTTAGACTTCATGCGCCATCTAGCGGTAGTATACATGAACAAAAATAATTCCACATAACCTTACATATGCATTTTACACAGGCAAGAAGTTAGACTTGGTTGGTTAATTATTTGACAGATGGCGCTATACAAATTGGAACAGATTATAAAATAGTCCCGTAGATGGCGCGAGTTAAGGATTGAATTATCAAAAATATTTATTTAAATCGAATTTAATTTTGAAATTGAAAATTATTACCACAAAGTTTTGAAATAAAAAAATAAAACTAAAATTTAATAAGTAAACTATGTTCATGATGATATGCTAAGAAGCATGATATCGATTTTTTTAATTACATATATCTTAAACGACAACTCTGTTTGGTTGAAACCACCCCCAATAGCAGAGACCCCACAATTACCACTAATTGCCGGCGCCTAAGAGAGCGTAAAATTAATTAAATTTACTTGGATTTTTGCACCTCGACTTGCGCGCGGCCGTTAATTAGTGGCCAACGGTAATTTTGACGGGGTTCAAACTTGAGCCTTAAGTTGCTGCGGCTCCTTGAGCAATTCAGTTTGCTCTGCTGCATTTTGTCAACTTGATTGGCCAGAAGTTGTCGTCATTAGGAAACGTTTAGCGCTCTTGACTTTTGCCAGCCGCCAAATTGCCAAACAAAACGCCCATGTAAGTTTTTTTCGCTTTCTTCGCAGAGTTTCCAAATGGAATTAATTAAGAAAATAAAATGAACAGTTGTATTGTTATTTTTCAATTTAAAAATCTTTCTAACCCAAATAAAACTAATTAAAACTTTGCATCAAGCCTCAACTTCTCTTCTTAAAGAATTCCCAAAATAAATTCAAAAATTTGCGGATGATGACAGTGTCTTTTATTTTTTTGTTTTTATTTTTTTCTGGTTTCAGAAGTATATATTATGTCTGTATTTTAATTGTTTTGTTTGTGTGTGTTTAGTGTAGAATTTAAATACATTTAAATTTAATTTTAAATTTATGCTATGCACTTCGATCTGCGTTTAAAACATAAAAAAATTGCACCGCTCGTTGTTGTTTCATTTTGTTGAAATGTTTTCTTTTTTGTTTAGCTAAGTGATTTTGCCTCTCTGAATCGGAATTCCTTTTCCTTTTCAATATCTCGCTCTTTAATCCATTTTCCCTCTCGTTCTATTTTAACAAAGCTTAAGTTTAGTTTACAACTGGAGACTTAAATGTAAATGTTGGCTACGTTTAACTTTAATCTCGCGTTTTTCGGATTCGTTATACCCTTTTCGTTATATTTCTTTTGGGGGAAAATTTACCTTGTTTTTTAAAGACAATTCGAATTTAATTTTGTGGTTTAAAAATTGGTTAAACATAAAATGTTCTTTAAAGTTCATATCTTTGATTTGAATATTCATAGGATTTATTTTTCGATTTATTTTCAGCTTTTAAATATTTTTTAAAAAGTGTAGTAAATAAATTTAAAATCTCTCTGAAACTGTAATTATTTTTCAATTAATTCAAGAATTCTTTTTTTAGAATTGCCACCGAATCAAGGGTTTTCCCCAATTTTTTTCCTAGGTCATAGACAAGTTCAACTCCTCGCTGCCGTTGGAAGATGGTGGTCAGAAGATCACCGTCAGTGGTCGCCGGAAATCCGCGGCGGTGGCGCCACCACCCCCACCGCCCGCCGAACCACCGCCCACGCCGGCAGGGGAACCACCCACTGCACCACCCGCCGCCGCTGCCGAGGCCAATTGACCGCCATACTGCTGGGCATATTGGGCGTAATCCAGACCCACATCGCTGGGCGAATGCAAGTGCGGCTTCGCCTCCACCGCCTCCAATTGGGGCGTGGCATCGCGATCGTCCAGCCCGCTGCTGCTGTTGTTGTTGTGCGAACTGGCACTGCCGCCCCCACCGCTTCCCCCTCCACCTCCTCCCCCTCCGCTGAGCAGCAATTGTTGCTGCTGTTGCTGCTGCTGTTGTTGCTGCTGCTGATGTTGCTGCTGCTGCTGCTGGTGATGCGCCGCCGCATGCTGCTGTGCCCCATAGATCTTGGATATGTCGAAGGCATAGTTGGCCGCCCGATCCTGGTACATCTTGGAGTCGAAGTACGCCTTGGTCAGCACACTGGGGTCCAAGTAGGCGCTGTACGCACTCGCCTGCGAGGAATTGCTCAGATACGAGCTGCGCTCCAACGCGAACTTGTCCATCTGACCGGAGAGGGTGGCCTATTTAAAATAGAAAATATATTAAAATAATAAATAAATACAGATATTATTAGATTATTAATTATATACGTTTTGAAAGTGTGGTTAAAAAAATGTTAGCAATATGAAATACTGAATCTCTATGAAAAACATCTAAAGGGTTATTAAAAGTATATATTTTCTGATATAAAAATACTACAGTCTTCAAAATTGTAGATTTTTTTGGGTCAGCAAGTTTAAATTCTTAATAAAACCATTTAAATCCACTTAACTGCTTCATTGAGTTTCAATTTAACAACTGAATATTGATATAATAGAGCTTCCCACTAAGCTCCTTTAATGATCTCCTTTTTAGAACAATTCTATACATCTACATCTCACCTATCAAAAAAACCCATCAGTTTGGAAAATCAATCACGAATTTCTGATAACGAAGAGCCGTACGAAATTCAAGTTATTTGCTGCCATAGAAACCATAGCCAACTTTCCCACTTAATTCCGAAACGGACTGAACCACAGAGACCTGAAGTGCTTAACCTTCTGATTAGTGCAAATTGCTTAACACTTTTGCGGCTTTATTTGACCAACTAATTGTGGCTGTTGGATGAAAAGCAACCCTCTGCCTTCCACCAACTCCCCCGTAAATCGTAATGCAAACCGAAACGGTCTCAATTTAATTTTATTTGATTTGCAATACGTTTTTCATTGCTACACCAGTTGCCAGTTTTTCTTTGGGAAAGGGGAAAGTGGATGTAGATGTGAATGTGAATGAAAATGTGAATGTTAACGGGTACTAAAGTGAGCCAGAGGGTTGTTTTGCTTCATTTCCGTTTTGTTTTGAGTGGTTGAAGGTTTGAAGGCCCAGGGGTTGTATATACATACGACGCTCCCCTTTTCGCTGAGCTCCGAACACTTGGCTCCGGGCTATAATTATGTTGTTAACACATCATCATCACCATAACCATCACCATCACCATCACCATCCTCCTCGTCATTCTGGCCTCCCCAACTTCACTTCCCCCTTGTTCTTCTGGGCTTGTCTTTGGTGCCGAGAGCGTTTTGGATTACAATTTGATTTGATTTGCACCCAATTGGGAATTAGTGAGGATTCGTAAATATTTTGATCCATCGCATTATCAAGTGGATATTCTGTTCTGTTCTGTTTGTCTTGTTTGCTGAGGTTCCGGTTACTTAACCGTGTTGCAGTTAATTGATTTAAAACCCCTTGTTGCCTGAGTGGGTTATGCAACGTGGTTTTAGAGGGTTTCGAGGGCAGGTGAAGGACAGTGCAGTGTTTAGTTTTGGATTCAATGGCAGCTGTGCTAACAATTTCTTTTTAAAGTGTTCTGTGGATGTGCTCAATTAATGGATAAAGGTGCAGGACCACCTGTAAAGGATGTTGTTATTTTACCTTAAGGGTTTCGAATTGAAAAGTAATTGGGAAAAATGTTCTAATAGCATTTGCTGGTTTGATTAATATTTTTCTATAAATAATATTTATAGCCTGAGAAAGTTTTGATTATGAAAGCTAGAAAATGTAGCAAAAAAATTAAACTTGAGGAATGCTGTCAGCAATTTGCCGTGTCAGAAATTTGAATCCCGCCCACTATGCAATTTTCTCTGAGAACCCAGCCTTCCTTCATTCCATCACTCAAACGAGATTTCTTTTTTGGCCTAAACTTAGTCTATTATTACGGCCGGAGAACGAGGTGTGTTATTATCGGGCGAATGTTAATGCCGGGTCTTCAACACCCGCATCGCATCTGCAACGCCACATCAATCACGGAGTGAAATAGGCATCGTCCAGGGAATTACATACGTGGCCCTCTGAACCTCTGAAAAGATGGACAATGGTCGCGAACCGAGAGTCATGGCTTTTAATGGGCATTGTTAATCAATTGAGGTTGGCCATGGGTAGCTGGCCACCTGATGGACGGACAAAGGTCCGAACTTTGGCTATTTCTTGGCCATTCTCGGGATTCCTAGCAGCTTTCCTCGGGCAGCTGTTCCACTTTTAAGGACACTCTACGGCTATCCCACCTGTCCAATTCTGTTTGTTTTTGTTTGTGCGACTGCCCTTGTTTATCAACTCTATCTGATCGAAAAAAAAGAGAAGGGGACTAAAACTACTCGGAGCTGCTAAACATGTAATGACAACTTGCAGGCCAAATCCTTTGGCATGACATGTCAGAAAATTCAATTGGGCCAGGATCTCCCGCTTTTTCGCCTGCTTAGTCACGGGTGCACAGTAAGAAATGTTCTACTTTATAATATGTAGATTTGTTTAAATAAAATAATGTTAATATTAAATAATTAAATAGTTGTGCCAGTGAATTAAATATAAAAATAATAGTAAATGAAATATATGAACTTGAACTGTAGAAAATTTAAATATTAAATAACGAAGTACGTTTTCGAGTACATGAAGTAGTATATAAATATGTACTTATGTAAGCGATGTATGTATGTAAGTAACTCCTTCCAAATCGAGAAACCATTTCATTTTAATATATTTAATACAGTTACTAAAGCATATTTTGGACTAAATTTAATTTTGATTTTTATAAAAAATTATTTATACAAATTATTATTTGGTATGTTCCCAATTGTATCTTGGGATAACAGGGAAACCAAATAATTTTAATTTTTTTTCGGTGCAACGGACGGCATGTTTTCCGCCTTTTAAAGTGGGCGTCTACCGTAGGAGTTTGTAATTATGTTATTAAGGTGACCCCGCAATAACCTCCGCCCATGTGCACATGAGTTATATATATATATGTGTATGAATATATGTGTATGAATACATGTGTTTGTAATTGGTCACCGCTACCGTTCAGCCCTTTTGACGGACGTGCTGGCACTTGAGTTTCGTGGGGAAGGGGGAGGTGGTGCAGGGGGCAAAAGGTAGAGGTGGAAGGGGAAAGCTGGAAGGGGCACTGGGAAGCCACACTCACCTGAGTCGTGGTCGGCGTCGATGTCTGGCCGAGATGGCTGCCCAGGTGATAGGCAGCCGCTGTGGGACCGGGCGCAAAGTAACCGGGCGTAATACCTGCAAGTGAAGCGAAAACGACCGAAGATGAGTTCAGTTTTTGGTGGGGTTAAGGGAACTAAAGGGTTAAGGGGTTAAGAAAAAAGAGTTTACAACAATTATTACCGGGATACAGGCACAGTGGGGCTATCAGATATAAATGGTTTTATAACTAAAGTCTTCGGTTGGGAATGAAAGAATAAACCTATAATGATTCTTCTTTTTAAATGAAATAATAATGAAGCATAAATGCAAATGAAAATGTTTATGGTATACCTAATCTTTACCCCTTTGTGTATGTCCCTATTTTTTAATTTTCCTAAATAATTTCTTACTAAAATCTATGATAGTCAGCTTCTTATATACATAAACCTTCTCTACTAAACTTTAACCACTGTGCATCTTGAAATGCAGCTTCGTTTCGGCTCAGTTTGAGGTTCGACTTGGTGTGTGTTTAAAATAATTGCCACTCGAAATATTTGCGTTCTTTGTTCGGCCAACTCTTTCATTTCGTTTAAATAACAATTTTTCTTTCGGGGTCGCCATCGGCATTTAATTGGGCGCTGAATCAGCTATTTCACTTGGAAATGAGTGTGTCGGATCCAAAAAGAGAGTATCTGCGTATCTGGTAGATGCTGGCAGTCATTACCAATTGCCCTAAACGGTAGTCGTCCAACTGCTCTCCTGGCCTTTTGTGTTGGCCAAGTTGATAATTACAGGCGCCGCTTATTGAAAGACTTCGGCGTTTATTTCATTGATGGCGCTATGGATTTGATTGAGAGTCCAACCGAATTGGGATCTTCCAGCAAGCAATTAAATTCGCTTAGACAACAATGTTTTCATCAACCAAAAAAAGGTACATTGTATCTATTTGAAAGACTTCTTGCTCTTCAACTATTTGGCGATTTCAAGTAGCGACGGTTTCGGATGCCATCATCATTGTTATTATTATAATAGCGGATTAGGTAGTTGATCTATTGTATTCGATCTGTTTGTAATGACCGGTTGTGGTAAATAAACGGAAGCCCAGTTGCTTGAAACATTTTTGAGAAGTAAATTAAGTAGAGTGAGTTTAATCATCAATATATTATAACTTTTTAAGAAGGTTTACCAGTTTCAAGAACAATTTATTTTCAAATATTATTTATGCTTTCATATACGCAGCTTTTATTATTTTTCTTAGAAAAAACATAATTAAATCTTTGACAAATACTTATGCTTAAGTAATTCCACAGTTGGCTGCACAATCGTCTTTCCGAATCCCTTCTTTTCATAGAGTTCAGTGAGGGGAAAGCCACGAGCCAACTAAACAGACTAATTCGCTTTATTTATTACGCATTTCCTAGTATTTTTATTATCATTTCCGCTGGGCATAAATCATCCAGGACATGGGACCAACTTTAACCGAGAAAACTTGCGTTAAATTGAGGGCCGCTCGGGGTGAAAGACAAAAAACGTGACAAATGCTAATTTAAAACCTCCAACCAGCGGGAAAAACTACACTCATCCCAGAAGCACCACCACCACCACCCACTTCCACTCCCCTTTTCATGACCATGGAAAATCATGAATGGAAACTTATGCTCCTGCTCGTGGCTCATGTCTGATGGCTCTTCCCTGTCTGTCTGGCTGGCTGGCTTTCCTTCCCCGATCCTCTCCTGTCACTCGAATGAGTTGCTAAGCCAGGATGATGACTTCACAGTTTGTCAGTCAGTTGGGTGGTTCCATATTGCGGTTACAAAAGATTGAACAACGGGTGGGGAATAGTTTTGGCATAGGCTGTTGGCAACCGAAAGCCCCACACCCCAAAACCTCCTTATTTCGTGTCAAATTTGCATTTGTCTTGCGCCTCTGCTGCCAGTTTCCATAAAACTCAATTATTATTTTGCCTAGTGCTTTGGCTTAGGGGTTTTCAAGGGTCTCAATGCGGAATTTTGCTTTTGGCGTGATTTGTGGATGCCTTGAACTATGAAATGGGGTTTCAAAAATAAAGTATTTGGGTCTGAAGATGAATTGTTTTGGATTTCTAAGGTTCTAAGTTTGTAGGATCAGATAGAACACACTATAAGATAGTTTTTCTACTAAATACTTTTTAAAAATAATTATATTTATGTTCTTTAGGACCTTACCCGCTCTTAACGCCTCGACGGGCACCGATGGATATGGCATTGGATAGGGATAACCATCGCGTCTCAGGGCCTTTGGCTTTCGTCGCGGTCGGTATTTGTAGTCCGGATGCTCCTTCATGTGCATGGCCCTAGGAAAGATAATTCCTACGTTAATAATCCCGAAAAATATCCTAACCAAAACTCACCTCAAGCGTTTGGCCTCATCGATAAACGGACGTTTCTCCTCCTCCGTGAGCAACTTCCACTCGGCACCTGAAATTTGAAGTAATTCTCGTTAATCCATTAGATACATTTGCTCTTGAAGCGAAGCTCTTGTGGAATCTTGTCGAAAATCTGGGTACAACCATTGGAGTGCACTCATGAGAAGCTGTCGCACATAAGCATAAGGCCAACACCCACTATCAAATCCCCCGAAAACTTGTCTTGTCTGTGCAAGAAGGATAACGGTGAACAATGTCCCTGTCAGTGGTTGTCTCTTGTCTCACTCTTCACTCACTATCCGTCCCTTTCTGGCCCGCCATTGTGCGGGGTTCCCCTTTTCGATCCAGACGAGTTCCCTGCTAACCCCAGCAGGTGGTTTTGGGTTTATAATTTCGATGGTAGGGGTCGCAGGAGCTGCCAGGATGTGTTCGAGGCACACCCACACAGATACACGTGCCACACAGACACTGGAGAAGCAAGGACACATCCTATAAGTGGCACATGGGGTTGCTTTTCGGAGACCAAGGACTTCCATTCTAACTCTGGTTCGTCCATTGTGCGTTTGGAAATTGCAAATGTTTTTAAGTTAATGTAAAACGTTATAATGACATGTGTCATACGACGTCTGAATGGGGGAAGTGGTGTCAGGAAGAGAACTGGAGTTGTGACAATAACAAGGACCTTTCATCCAGTTGGGGAGTTTGCTTAAAGGCAATACTCGATTGGGTTGGCTGAGCAGCTTAAGCGTTTTGGTAGGATGCTTTGGAAATTATGTTGGCATCTTAATTATGCATTGCAATTATACATTTAAGGATATTATGCACCTTCTATAATTTGTTGTTTGTCACCTTAAATTGTACTTATTCGATTGCTTTTAATTTTAAAATATTTGTTTGATATAAAAATAAACTATTTGTTTAAAAGTTTAGATTTTGATAATAACTACAAGTTGATTTGATGTTATCATGATTACTTTTTCATTTATATTTTTTGTACCACCTCTTAATCCAACAATGGTAATTCCTTAATCACTTAATAAAAACCAAAGAATGTTGACATATTGTAAGTGAATTAGTTGATGAATTGCTGGGAGAGAGAGTCGGTCTGCGAGTGTGTGGGGGCAAGTCGCTAATTAGTTATAACGTGTAATTTTAGTGGCTTGTCATGCGGACACAAAGCCGGAATAATGTCACATACACACTGGGCCACAAAGCCAGTCGCCAGTGGCATTGTTATGACAGTCAACGATGACAGGGCCAACTGAAGTTCCCTTCTTGGCCAAAGAGGAAACGATTCGAGTGTCAGAGCCAGAGACTTGCACAGAGGCCCACACACAAGCAACGAAAACTATAACAATAAGGCCAATACAAAGGCTGAAAAGCCTTCTGCTCAAACCATTTCCCCCCCAACCAACCAACCAACCACCCACTCATAATGGTAAAATACTAATTTATAGATACATCGACAGAGCCAAGGGTCCAACTGGCCGTCAAATGAGCAACTCTCCTTCTGGGGACGGCACCTTCGAGAGAATGGACTCCAATGGGGAGGAGGTGGAGTGTGGGAAGAAAGGTGGGATGGATGGAGCCCCCTTTCCTGGACATAATAATAAACAAGACCAGCAGCAGCCGATGGGAAAAAGGGGGGCAAGCTTGTAGATACAAGTTGAGCAGTTGAATAAACTAGACCCACAAAAGGATGACAATGACAATGTCTATGTTTGCCCAATGTCTATGATGTTGGCGCCCCTTGGCCAAACAGAGCACTACGTTGCCAGTCCGAGAATTTTCTCCTCGTCGTCCGTCCATTTGACCGGCTTAATAATTGATACGAAAAACAAGTCAGCACTTGGCAGCTTGCGAGATATTTCCGAGACTCTTTCTGTTACAATTAACAAGTTTTTCCGGCCTGGAAAACGTTGCACGTTCGCCTAACCCACAGAGCAAATATTTAACCATCACCAGTTGCAGTTTCCAATTTCAGTTGGTAGTTCTTTCTTTTTTTCTTTCTTTTTTTCTCTTTTGGGGTTTGTAGTTACACTTTCCACTCATTCGAACAATCGGGCTACTTATGGGATTACTTCGCTTCTGTTCTGCTGAGTTCTGTTTGGAGCCCACTCATAACGCGTCCACAGGTTAACTTGTTTGCCCAGCAATTTAATGGCTTTTAGGTGGAGCGTTGGGTGTTGTTTTTTTTCTTTTTCCCTCCCTCAGTTTGACCAGTGGAAATCTGGCTTATTTGTCCGCCTTTTGTGAGTGAAAACGTGAGAAGAAGTCTTATTCTCTGGCTAATTTAGTGCCGAAGGAATAGGGATAGGGCTTTACTGAAAAAACTTCTCAAACAGGATTTTGAAATATGAACTAGTTTTTGTTGTGTTATGGTCAGTTAATTAATTGTTAATTGTTGGTGGACAAAGTCCATACTATAGGCTATAAAAAGCTTCATGAAGAAATAAGGTCTTAATAAAACTGACCTTTACTTAAAGTGAATCTCTTCATTTAGCAAAATAATTGCTTAAATATAAAGAATACTTTTAAGGGATTTTTATATGATTGACTTTCGTGGTAAGCAATAAGAACGTTTAAATTTTTTTCAACATAAAAATTTCAGTACTTTATATAACAACGCTTCTTTGCCGCATTGCGTGTGTATTCATCAATGCATGATATCCTTACATTTACCATAGCGGAATAAATAAAACCTTTGTTTAAAATTTCCTGGAGCCCCGATTAATTTTTTTCGTTCCGCCCATTAAACGCAGCCAAATATAGAAGCGCCCACCTGTCAGTTGCAAAACAGCGTCGTAACCCCACGAAAACTCCTTTCGAAAGCTTTTTCCAATTGCAAACTAATCAATTGTTGGCATTTTATTGAGCAACAAAAGGTGATCGAGGGGGTGGTAAAGGCTTGAGTTCGACCTTTTGTGATTGTTTTCTGTTTTCTGTTTTTTTTTTCTGACTCTGCTCCTTGGGCCTTTTGTTGCGCCGGTTCTAACGGCTCATTCATCCATCGCTCCTCAGCTTTGTCTGGCATTATTAAATATTTCCCGCAGGAGCAGCAGTAGCAGCAGCAGCAGCTTTGATTAAAAATAAAGAACATTGTCGATTCGACAGGTTTTTCAATTATTTGCAAAATACAAAACACGGCAGAAAAGACTTTCCGAAAAGCATGAGCATTATTGCTGCTGTTGTATTTTGTTGTTGTTGTCGCCTTTTGTTTGGGCGCCGCTGCTGTTGGTAATTCAAATTTCCAGACAGTAATTAATGACAGTTACAATTTCAATTAAGCCCGCGCGCAGCACAGAATTGTTTTCTATAACATTCACTTTTATTCCATTTTACCCACTCATATAACAATTTTTTTTTCAACCTTTGTGGGCCTTTGTTTTTTGTTTGGCGAATAAAATAAATGGCAACGCCAGCGGCGACGGCGTCTGAAACTGAAGAGCCTCTCCAATGTAGCCAGTCTATGCCGCCCTCTCGCTCGCACGCGCTCCCGTTCCTTTCGGCCGCACTCTGCAGCTATCTCTGTCGCACTGTGGTGAAAAAGTAGCTTTCGCGCCGCCATTTTTTGTGGCGCCTTTGTTTATGCCACAGTTATTTCTCCTCCTCTGCCATCATCTTGCGCCTTTTTGTGCTTTTTCTGTTTGGCAATTTCTCATAATGAGCGTGGCCTTTGTATTTGTTGTTGAATTATTCATTTAATTGAATGTTGGCTTAACTTTTTCAAGTGCAAAAAACTTTGACATTTTGTGTAAATGTGGCAAATGTTTGCTCTTGCTTTCCTTTTTTCATGCGCCCCGTTTTTTTTTGCTTCTCGTTTTCATTTTGTTTGCATGTTTGCATTGTTTATTTAAATAAATCGGTTTTGTTGGTTTTGTGGCATAATGAACGTTTTTAAAATTGTCCTCAAGTTTATAAATGGTATAGAAGAAGTGATAAGTACAGTGAAAGCTCATGCAGAGGGATATAAGGTGGTGAAGATTTGGCCCTAAGGCAGAATATGTGTTGTATATATCCCAAAAATAAATGTTTTTCCATTTACTGAAAAGGGAAAACGAGAAAAGTTACACACATTTCTAGTAAAAGGACAATCTTTTACCTTCGCGGTCATACTTTTATCAAACTGCTGGCTGCCAATTCAGTTTTTCGACCCACTCTGCTCCAGTTCCACCTTTGCCACAAAAGAATTTTCCGAGCTTCTGCCCCACCACCCGCTCCTCCATCCACCCGCTCTAAACAAACTTAACAAAGACTGCAACTGACAGCAAATATTACTAAAAGAGAGAGGACGAGCGAGAGGAGCTGTCAATTCGCATAATGGATTTGCCAAAAAGCGGACTAAAAAGGAAAATGTGAAAGGCGAACAAAAGCTTTTCAGCTCAACAATATCAACAACAACGGCGCTGGAAAAAATCGAAAGAAAATAATTCGAAATTCAAGTTTGCTTCTAAATTGTATTTAAGTTTGCTGCCTCCCATCGATATGTTTACATGAACTCTTCGCATTGGACGCGAAAAAAACACGCTAAATGGATGTACAAGACGGAATGGCTTATAAGAAGAGAAAGGGGCTATCAAGGGAGTTGGGGGGAGGAAAAAAAAACTCCCCCAGGAGGAAACCCCTTTTTTGTTCGCATCCTTCAGATGCAGCGAGTTTGCCTGTTGTTGCTCTTTGGTTCGCTCAACTGGATAGCAAGTGAGTCGCATTTAATTTGCCTTTGTTTCGACGCAAACAATGGCTAAATAAAAATGCAAGAAAAAGTCATTTAACGAGTGCTTGACTGGGGGACTTTTGGATGAATTTGCGTACCCAGGGGGAAACCCCGTAGAGTTTGATTAAAAAATTGCACAAAACGCTGGCAAATTTCCTCAAAGTTCAGATCGATAATGGCCAAGATGGGTTTGTCTTTTGGTTTCAATTTCGAATAATCGCTATCACTGTTATGACAGCAGCCACTGATTAGTACCCCAACCTATATAGGACTCTCATCCAATATGCATGAGCTGATCGAAAAAAGGTAGTCCTAAGAACTGGCATTGTTATGCTAAAGAACTTGCCTGTCAGCTGCCACGTGTCTTGGATCTGCAAGTTGGATGGAAATTGAATTAACTACACGAAAATCAGAGAGAGAAATATTCACTCTAAACCTTCATATGAAAAAAATTATTTCTCTGGAATGATTTTTAAATTCTGGATTTTAATGTGTGTTTTAAAACCGAAAGTTTATAAGTTAAAACAAACATATTTATGACCTCATAAAATGTTTTCTAAATTATAAAAAACATGACATATTTTAGTGAAGTTAAATGAAAATTTTTTACTGGATTTTTTTATGTCCTACCAACAAATAAAAATGTTTCGATGACTTTTTGAATAATTGAGCAATAATAATCCCCATCTGGAAACTGGCTGTTCAAAGGAAATGGTTCTCAAGTTAAATATATTTTTATTTAATTTAGATTTAATATTTGTATAACTTTTTATTATTTTTGAATTATTTGTTTCAGTGATCTAGCTCAAAAACTGCACGCCCAAAAGAGCCGAGACCCAAAGACCCGATAAGACTTGCGTGGGATTATCTGACGACGCTCCGAGCCCTCCGAAAAATAAACTACTTAACTTTGCAACTAGTTAAGCGGGTGAGAGACAAAGCGGGTCGTGATTTGGCGAATCAAACTTAATCGGGTGGGTGGTGCTCTGTGGACAAGGTCGATCCCAAATCCGAACCCCTTCACCTTCTTCTTCTTCTCCTTAGTATTTTTCGGGCGTAATCAACAGCTTCCTGGGCGGCTCTTCCTGCTCATTGTTTGACAGCCGCCTGTCACTTTTGACAGTTGCGTTGAGTGGCGGGTGTTTTTGGTTTGTCATTGCCATTGTACAGTTGGGTATTACGTTGATTAGTTTAACTTGCATAAGCGATAGACACACACATACATAGACAAGCTGGAGGGGGAGTGAGTGGGCGCGAGAGATTGGCAGGTCGTGTGCCGCATTTTAATTTCGTTTTGTATTGCCCCATCCTTTGTCCGCAGATTATACACATTTCGAAAGAAACGTTGCCACCAGATAACCGAGACTTTCGTGGCTTAGGTTACACAAAGCCCTCCACAAAAAGAGAAACTGAAGTGCGTTCGGATGTGATTTAAATAGTTTGTTTGTTCTGGAAATAACAGCTCTGAAGGAGGCAATTGAGTCACTCGTGGATGACTGACTTTTCTTGAACTCTGCTCGTGGCACGAGAATCAAAATCTAAATAGATCATACAAAACAAAAGTTCTGTTCTTTACAGAAGCAAAAATGAAATTTTCTTGAGGGTTCAAATGCTGGTTTCTCAATAATAAAGACAAAGCTTTAATGTTTTCTTTTTCAAAGTATTTAAAGCTTCTAAACGGATCACCCCAAAACCCCTAATAAACATTAGAAACTCACCCAGCCTCTTGGATATCTCAGAATTGTGCATTTTCGGATTATCCTGGGCTATTTTGCGCCGTTGAAGTCTTGACCACACCATGAATGCGTTCATTGGACGTTTTATGTGCTCCTCATTTTGGCGCTTCGTTGTGTTCTGGATCATCAAACTGAAGAAGACATCGCTAAAAACAAATAAATGTATAAAAAATAATTAATAAAATTAATGTTCTTATTAAAAAGTAATTCAAAGTTTATTGATGGTTGAAAGTTTTTAAAGTATTAAATTAATTTTTAGTAAAAACCTTTCCACTTATATTTCATCGATTATTTCAAAGTAGAAAAATCAAATTAATAAACTTTTTTCAAAAGCAGCAGTGGTTTAGTATAAATAATTAAAATAACCTTTTTCTTTACAACTTTTTTGACATAGGTTTTTGACAACTTTATAAATAAATATTTGTTTATTTATAAAATAGAATACAAAATATAATTTTCTATAATTTCTATATAATTCTGATGAATATGTTATTCAATAACCTTCTTTAATAAAATAAACTTACCTGGCGCTGCTGCCGGAGTTCATGAGGCTTCCCATGTTCTGGTGGAGATTGCTGATGGGCGAGGCCTGCGAATTGTGGTGCAGGTGGGCGGCTGCTGCGGCGGCCATCACGCTGCTGGGGGCCGAAGCACTGTGGTGGCTGTTGGCCGAACCACCGGCTCCCGAGACGCCCGCACCGCTGGCGGAACCACCGCCCAGTTGGGAGCTGCCGTTGCTGTGCGGCTGGTGGCTCAGCGACTGCGACTGGCTGTGGTGCGATCCCACTGCCGCGGAGGAGGAGGAGGACACCGCCGGCTGGCCCTGTTGCTGCTGCTGACCCGCCGGGTGGTGCTGGTGCAGCTGCGAGTGGTGGTGCGCCAAATGGAGCGCCGAGTGTGGATGCAAACCCAAGCCGGTGGATCCGTTGGGCGAACCGTTGCTGCTGTTGCTGCTGCACGGGTGGTGCTGATGCTGCTGCTGGTGCTGCGGCGACTGGTGGGCGTGGTGGTGCTGGTGGTTCAGCGACAACTGCTGACCGTGCAGCGAGTGGTGCGCGTGGCCCAGTCCCTGGTCGGATTGCTGGTGCTGCTGCACCGCCGCCGCCAGTTGGCCCAGGTGGTGCGTGCCGCCGCCGGAGCCCAGGTGGCTCTGCAGTGGGTGAGCGAGCGAGAGGCCGGTGAGCGACAGGTGCGTGGACAGACGTTCCATCATACCGCAGATGGAGACGGGGACGGAGCCGAGCTTCCGCGGTGCCTCAATCTGTGGCCAACGAGCCGACCGGCGGACTGGGTGGTGCTGCTGCTGGTTCTGGATCTAGTGGTGCTGGAACAAGTGGTGGTGGTGGTGAGAAGTTTTTGATGCGTCGAGCTGCAAGTTTTTGAGATAAGTATGTATTGGTTAAAAATATGAAAAATATTAAACAAAACTTTTTTTAAGCCTAATATAATTTATATAAAATTAAGGTCATGGCTGGAAATTATGAGATAAGTATATATTGATTAAACATATGCAATATATTAAAAAAACTTTTTTAAGACAAATATTAATAAATAAAAAATTAAGGTCATGGCTCCTTATGGAATAAATACTCAAAAGCATTGCTAAATGGGAAACTTTTTCCATTCTTATTGTAATTATTGGGTTGGCAAGAAAGTAATGTCGTTTTTTAAGTAATCGTTTTTAATCTAATTTATTTACGACTATCGAGCACCAGGGTCACACTTTTTAGTATCGTTTTAAAGCTTATGGTTTTAGGTACTATCGACGAAAATTTGGTAATTATTCGATAACATTTGTGGAAGCTATAGCAAATTAAACATGGAGGACCAAAGTGAGCATTTTCGGCATATTTTGCTTTTTTACTTCTGAAAAGGAAAAAAAGCGGTCGAGCTCGCGAAAAATTGTGCGAAGTGTATGGTAAAGATGCCATGAGTGATAGCCAATGTCAGCGCTGGTTTGCCAAATTCAGGCTTGGAGATTTTTGAGTTAAAAATGCCCCACGTTCTGGTCGACCATCGGCCGTTTTTGACGAACAAATTCAGGCTTTGCTGGATGAAAACCGGCGTTATTCGACGCGGGAGATGTGAGAGAAGCTCAGAGTGTCGCATACAACGGTTGAAAACCATTTGTAAGCAAGCTCGATGTTTGGGTTCCGCATAACTTAAAGGAAATTCACCTAACTAAGCGTATCAACATCTGCTATTCTCTGCTGCAACGGATTAAAAACGATCCTTTTTTGAAGCGGATCATTACTGGCGACGAAAAGTGGGTTGTTTACAATAATGTCCAACGAAAAAGATCATGGAGCAAGAATGATTAGCCAGCACAAGCCACATCAAAGGCCGATATCCATCAGAGGAAAGTTATGCTGTCTGTTTGGTGGAATTGGAAGGGTGCAGTCCACTTTGAGCTGCTGGGACGGAATGGAACCATCAATTCAGATGTGTACTGTCGCCAGCTATCCAATTTGGCGGAAAAAATTAAAGAAAAGGAGCCGGCACTAGCTAATCGCAAGGGTATAGTCTTTCACCATGACAACGCTAGGCCCCACACATCTTTGGTCACTCGGCAAAAATTAACGGAGCTGAATTGGGAAGTGCTACCACATCCACCTTATAGTCCGGACTTAGCACCTTCAGATTACCATTTGTTTCGCTCTCTTCAAAACTCTTTGAATGGTAAAAACTTTGATTCAGTTGAGGCTGTCGAAAACCACTTGTCTCGATTCTTTGCTGGAAAAGACCAAAAGTTCTTCGAGCGCGGATTTATGCCGCTGGCCGAGAGATGGTACATAATTGATTAATTATAAGTCCTGATATAAATAAATCATTTTTGAAAATATAAAAAAACGACATGACTTTCTTGCCAACCCAATATTTATATCAATAAATCATCTTTGAAAATATTGAAAAAACGACATGACTTTCTTGCCAACCCAATAAAAGCAAAGAACATTTCATAGCCAATAGATTGTATGTATTTGAAGCTGAATATAGTTAATAATAATCGTATTATATGTTTTTTGCGTAATTATTTAAAATTGTTAGGGAGGTTCAGATTCATTAATCATGTTTTAAAAAATTTTATTAAGAAAGGAAATTAACGTCTCTTGCCCTTGATTCGGAAAGAGTAATTTATAATACTTATTCTAAATAAGAAGATGTGTATGCAATTAATCTTTCATATTTATAATTTTGCTGCATCATTGCATAAAACATATTATCGATGAATAAAAAAATGTAAATAAATTTAAAATTTGTTTGTATTTATTACACCCCACACCCTTTGCTATATTCGTTTAATTTACTAACTAAGTTCCAAACTAATGACTTGGAAGCATAGCAGCCTTAAATGGACAGCAAATCTCCTTGAGATTGGGACCACAATTCATGTAAATATCCACTGCAGATGACACGTTTGCGAGGATAATGCGAGGCAAATATCCGTGCAAATATGCGCAGGAGGAATAAGGACTCGCACTCACATCGGATCGGGCATATGTCCCCGGCACACTCGATTGTGCTCGAGATCCTGGCCAGGAGGACGAGGCAATCCGTATGCCCGAATCCGAAGGGGACCATTAAACAAATTGAAAGCGTTTAGCCGGACGCTGGCTTCTTGACCCTTTTTCTCCCCTTTTCGCCCGGCGTATTTAACACTTTTGCGGATGCCGACCGACCGACCGGGCATCAAGTGGACCACGTAAATCCCGCTTATAATGCACGCACATGTGGCCCTGAATGGGCCAGAATTGAAGCCTATCAACCGCCACATGACCAGCTCATCCCAGCGTGTCCAAAACAAGCGGCTTGGGTGCAAAATAAAGTACACAAAAATGTAAAATGGGAAAGAAATGGGTTTCAAGTGCCCCGTCGCATAATGAAAAGGATGGACGACGTCGTCGTCGTATTCGTCTCATTTGTTGTTGTTATTCTTGTTGTATTATTGTATATATCCCGCCTGGTTTTAAGGGTTGACATTTGGCCCACACAAAGGACTCCAAAAAAGGAGTGAGGGAAGTTTGGTTCGAGTTCAATTCCGGTCGAGTTGAGGTGGCAACCGCCAGCGCGGTTCGCAAGTGGGTTTTCATGGGCCAGGAGTCCACAAGTCCATTGTTTTTTTTTGTCCCCGAAGAATGGGTCTCAGACGACATACTTTTTAAGAGCCCGAATCAATTAGTTAATTGATTAACAATGCCCCATTGGGCAAGGGGTCACGTTGGAGAAGGAGGGGAAACGTCTGCGAATTGTCGCCGAGCGAAAACAAGAATAATTAATATTATAATTACATTTGTGTGGGTATTCAGCTAATTACATTTTATTGGGAGTGGTATGAAAACTTTGTTTTGGTTGCTCTTAACATTCATGCTTCTAGTGGGAAATTTTTAATCGATTTCACTTTCAAGTGGAGAGTTGAAAGCTTATTTCTAAGGTTAAAATAATAATAAAAGTATAGTAATAAAAGATTATAATAAGAAAATAAGTGGGGATGTACACATGTTATTTGTTTACCCTACAAAAGGCTCATTACAATCTTAAGCTTAATATACCCAAATTGAACAATACACAGTGACATATGTTTTGCTATTATTTTGAATTCAACTGTTTTATAAAAGGCTTAGCTTCTTGAAATGTAATTATTTGCTTTGTTATACAAGTAGCACTCATTTAGAATTTTGTTTATTTTAAAAATGAGGCGATGTTAAAAATATTGAAGAATGAATATTTTTGGAAAGCGTATGTTGACCTTGAATATAAGACAAATTTAACGCGGATGTAAACAAAAATATATACATGTTCCCTGAAGTATAAAAATAAATTAATTATAAGCTGAAAATTATATATTTAAAAAGATAAAGATATTTTTTATTTGGTTTTAATTAAAGAAAAAGGTAGTAAACAGACCTTATAAAATAATAATCAAAGTAAATAAATTCGTTTCTTTTTTTTTTTTATGATGGAGTTTTTTAACTTATGCTGACTTTATAAACTGGGTAGCCAACCCAATCGAACCAATTTGTCTTTATCTGTCGAATTCGAGTGCTTTTTCCCTGCTGCCATGTTCCGCAGTTTCTCCATTTTTTTGGCCCTGTTCATTGACATTCCTGGCCAGGCAGCAAACAGCAAACGTCGCGACCGACGTGGTCAATAACTTGTGTTGGGCTATGCGAGGCGACATCTGCACTGCTTCCGGGCATTACCACTTGGTGTTAAAGTAAAAATTGCCAGGCATGCGTATTAAGCATGAAATTTATTTTAAAAGAAAGAGAGGAGCTGAGTGCGGGGAGCCCGGACTCCATCCAGGGACACGCATATTTGTAATCCTTATGGAGTGCAAACAAATTTCTGTGTTGTCAAGTTGCCCTCCTTATTTTTGCTCCTCTTTTTCATTTCGGTTTTGGAGTTGGTACAGAGAAAAAAATTATCTACAAATCATTGGTGTTTATATTTCCTTTCAAAGTTATAGTCTCGAATGTTTATTTATACTGCCTATAACAATTTTGGATCATATTACTTCTGCAAGGCAGTCTCATAAAAAAGTTATGGCTATAAGTATTATGGGAAAGAAATAACTCTTATTTTATTCTTATTTAAAGTCAATCAAACGAAATAAAGATTATTGATATAATATTTGTAGGTTTCATTTTTATATTGTTGTTAATCCATTACATCATTGGAATGGCAGCAGTAGTAAAGGAGTTTAATAAAAATATAAACTGGCTTTTTTTTGCTCGATGTGGTGCAGTGTGGCAGTTGCAGTTTCAGTTGCACCACAGGGCCACCATCCGATTCGACGGTTGCACCACCAGCTGTGCACAAATTGCACTCCAGATATTTTTATTTGCTGTGAATATGCCAGCTCCTCCATTTAATTCCTCCAGCTCCGCCATATAGACAAAAAACGCTTCCTCCGATATTTATTTGTAACGGAAATGTAACCGTTAAGCCCGAAAGCGTGGGTCTTCTCAGGGTGTTAATCTAGTAGCCTTAATAGATAACCCACCAGATACTTTATGTCCGATTCTTTCTCATGGAAATCCACTCGCGTTCTTCTGTTTCGTATCGCAGTAGGAGTAAAATTAACCCGCTGGCCACTTGAGATTCGGGAGACCATATTGAGGCCCCCACCTCTTAGCCACCTTCCAAGTTGGTTTTGTTGTTGCTGCCTCTCGTTCATTTGTTCATCCGTTTGTTGGTGTGTCAAACAAGAATTATGATCGGCTTAGCCACATGCTGAGCTTGAGATCTCTCCCCCCTCCAAGCAGATTCTTCCCCCCAAACAGATTCTTCCCCCACCCGACGAAGAAGAGGAGTCTCGCGGTCTGCAGTCTACGGTCTACGGTCTCTTCTCAATACAGGTAGAGCTTTAAGTGTCTCCACTTTGTGTTGAAATGTATCGCGGATGCAGAGGGTTTTTCAAGTCCCCAAGTCCCCCCAATCCAATCCAAGCCAAGCCGAGACCCTCCATTCAAAAGTGTCGTCTTGGCCGCCCGCTGGGATCGGATCTTCTCAGGGCCCTAAGCCGCTGGGCCCCCTAATGTTTGTAATTAAGAACTTTCACACTCGCAACAATCGCCTCGTAAACGTACGAGTTTTTCCCCCAGCTCCCAGCAAGGTTTAGTGTCAAGATCGTGCCAAGGGCAGCCAAAAAGAAGAAAAGATACAAAGTCACAGCCACAGATACAGATGCTGATACTGCCGAATATTAATTAGAATTCTTCGCAAAACCACTCTTTGAAATGTACTTTTTTTTTTTGTTAGCAAATTTACTAAGCAAATAGAGTGGCAAAACAATAATATCAAAATATTCGATTGACATCTGGTTCTGTTTTCATTGGGCCGCAAAATAATTTCACAAAACTCTGTTTGCACAATTGTGTTTTTGTGTATTGGTCCAAAGTCGATTTCTATATATGAAGGGGGCACGTCACATTCAACTCGATTGTTGTCGCAAATTTTGTGCAAATATTAATAAACATACTTTGTTTTCCCCTACTTCTGCTACTTTTATCTGTTTTAATTGCGTCATTTTCAATGCTTTTGGGGTTTTTGACTCTTTTTTTCATCGCCGCTTTTTACATTCCTTGAGTCGGTTTTCATTTATAGTTTGAAATTAAGTTAACCAAACAACTTTGAATGCCCCTCGGTGTAAGAAAAAGAGCTTGCTTTAATTCAAGTGGAACATAAAGATTCCGACAATGATTTGGCAGAAAATGAAAAGAGGAAAATCCTGAAATTATCCAAACAATAAAATCTGTTGATTCCCCTTGTATCTTGGGCACTCAGACTCATTTTGTGGAGCTCTCTCCGTATTTACCTAATTGATGGTCAAGAAAAGTTGTTTAAATTGCGTTCTGAACGGCAATAATTAAATCAACTCTTTACAAAAACTGAAGTACGTTTTTAATTGATTTTCTTCGTGATTATTAATTGTGATTACTATTAGTTCAACTTAATAATTGCAGAAAGGGGATAAATTTAAGAAAATGATTTGACTTGAGGTTGAAGAAGGTGAAGAAAAACGATTGCAAGTTGGTCAACTGTAGATTTGAAAAATTTATCTTTTTATGTGTGATTAAACGTAACGTGGGGTCCCAAAATCTCAAAAACTTACCTCGAAAAGTTCTGCATTTCCTTTGTATTTCCCGTTTCCCGGCGATTGGAATCAAATATTCGATGGCGGCATATATGCGGAATATACTACCGAATCATCTGACTAATATATGTTTATGGTTTGTTGTTGTTGCTTATGAATTCCACTCTGCGAACTGCCATAAAATGTTGAATTTGTTGACTTTTATTAACTTGAGCTGTTTGGTAACCGAATCTGTTTAACGAACACTTTACATATGGGATATCACTAGTTTATGTCGATTTTTTGTTGTTTGGTTTCCATTCATTGATAAGATACTTATGCTGCCTCCAATTCTTTGATTCAACAAAGAATGAAGCTTGTTTGATTTGAAGTTTAACGAGAGAAATAAGTAGCTTAGGATTTCACAACTTTATGGGGGAAACTTGGCTAGATTTGTTTGTTTTTTAAACGTTTAGGCTTTATTTTGATTTGAATTTTTATTTGTTTTTGTGAGCACTTAACGGGCGGTCGAATTCGATATCATATGAGCACTGTTTTGGGTTTCGTGTTTTATTTTTTTATATTCTGAATAAAAGTTAGGTTTTTATAGGTATTACACCTTAACTTCGGGAAGTTTGTTTATGTTTTTTGTGCAATACTTTTTCCTGTTTTTCTTGGTTATCTGTTATTTTTGCCGTTTCTTGTGAAAGGGGGATAAAACCGTCGCTAGCTGTTGGCTGATCGGCTCTTCTTGGCCAAGTTGGCTGTTGCTGCATCTAAGCGCGCTTTGGCGGCTATTCAACGGATCCGTTCCGACGCGTAACTAAAAACTTGGCGCGCGCTCTCTTCAAAAACACACGAGCCAAAAAACGAGTCTTTTCAGCCTCGGAATGGGGGGCGGGGGGCGTGGCAGGTGGGGCGGTGAGACAGCTGCTATGTAACAGTTTCGCTCCACACGAGCACACACACACAACTGCCGCAAGTCCTCTCCGCGAAAGCTTGTGTTCTCTCTCGCTCTGCTTGAAACTTTTTTTTTCCGGGAGCTTTCTTTCTTATTGGTTTGTTAAATGATTTTTTATAAAAAGCCTCTTTATAAGGAAACTACATCCATAACAAGCCAAAAAGTGAGAGCCAAAATGGCTCTGTATTTGTGAGAGAGAGGCTCAACAACCAGGTGACATTTCGTGAAGGAAAAAGTAAAAAAAAACCTAAAGAGCTCCAGGAAAATAAACAAAACCCCCAGAGCAACAGAGACCAGAAATGTCAGACAGAAAGGGATGGAAAATCCAGAGGGAGGGCAGTAAGCATGAGCAGGTGTTGCGTGGGCGTGCGAGCGAGACAAACAGTTTGGCTACTGGCCACTAGAGCTATCTCACTCTAAGCAACGAGCCCCATGATGGGCGTTTCCAATTGGAATGCTTCTGGTTGGGGAAGGTTTGGTATTACATGAAACGCCAAGTGGAAATCCGAAGGGCGAAGTGAGGAGCCCGAAGCGGAGTTCATTGGGAGGAGATCCCACCATTGGGAATGAGCTTTTCGGGTGTTTGTCGTTTATTTACCGCATTTGCTTAGAGACCAGCAGAGAGCGTTACAAAAATGAGTAAAAAAAACCAACTATCGAAAGCAAAATCAACTAATCTTAATGGACATTTATTTCTGAATCGAACTGAACTGTGGAGATCTGAGCCTGACATCTTGCCCGCCACTGCGTTTCGCCTTTGGCTAATTTCTAATCTCAAAATGGTGGATATGTTGGCCAAGGTGGGCTTAAGCCAAATGGGTCCCTAAAGATACCAAAGGGGTCACATTTTTTTCTCCGTTTACCTTCAATCTTTAAATTATTTTGTACTGAGGCTTTCGGATTTAATGATTAGAATCTAATATTTATTGAACTGATATCCAAATTTTTATTAGCAGGTAAACAAGAATTTATAAGGTCACCTCCAAAAATGCACATTTTTTATTGTTTTGTGTCTTTAAAATGTTTACTCATTTTAAATATTAGGTTCCCAAGAGTTTGGTTCATAAAAGTAAAGTTATATAGGTAACATTTTTGTCGGTGTCATCTCTTTTCCGGTACATTTTTGTAAAGCTTCAGTTACAACCAATCAATCAGTATATTAAAGTCAAGGAATAACGTTTTTAAAACACGTATTAACAATTTGTATTTTTCTTAACTGGCCAAATAACTCTTTTCAGTATTGCATCCGCCTTATGTCACGGTTAGCAGTATATAGTCCTGCAAAGTACCTGCCATTGCATTTTTCATGTCTACATTATTGCTTTGTTAATTTGTTTTGGTGTTGGTGGCGTTGCCAGGACAACGGCTCGAAAGTCCGGACTCCAAGCACCGGGAGTCCCAACAACTCCACTCGCATTTGGTTCAGGACATTGTTCCAGGGCTTTTTGTACGACGGGTTTTGGGTGGGCGAGGGCATTACGCAGGTGTTGCCATTGTTTCAGGGCGGTTTTTAGCGCATTTTGATTTCCATTCAGTCTGTCGAGTCGAGTTCTGTCGTCTGGCACTTGGGCTTCATTTTAATTAACAACGAACTAATGACAAATGCAAACAGTATATACATACATACTACTATGCGAAAAGGCTACCTCCTAACACTCTAATTTAATTTGACTCTAATGACCTAAGCTTTTCCTACACGGCAGATAGAGGAAAAGTCTCAGAAAAATAGAGGATAGACGGGGGTACTTGCTGCCTTTTTGCCAATTGTCAGTCAACAATTGCTAGTTGAAAACAATGGGGCACATTTTTCCAGCCCCAACTTGACGAACTGAGCGAGTGACGAAGGGGTAGATGGATGTGTTTGAATGGTTGGATGACTGGATGGACTGCAACTGTTCCATTTATTTGGACCAGGTTCTTCCCTCTCCCTCTCGCTCTCGGTCTCGTCTTCTTCCTCTCCTTCTTGCATTCTATGTACTTTGCTGTGTCCATTGTCTTTGGCAATGTCTCGTTCTCTTTCGCTGTGTCTGTCTCTCTTCCTCTGTTAGTCAGCCATTGTAATTATACACTGCACTCCTCTGAATGCCTAAAATGGCTTAACTCGCTATTGGAAGGGGTTCGCTGGAAATTCGAGGTAAATGGATTACTAGTTTGGGCATGGGATTAATTAGTTTTTAAAAGTGTTTGCTTTAAATATTTTCAATAAATCAGTTCTCTAAGCTTAAAGCTACTTTGTGTTGTGGTGCATTATTTTGTCAAAAGGGTTTTGACATTTATAAAATCTTTAAAATAATGTTATTGGCATTTAATATATAAAGTAGTATCATTATCTACTGTTTCGTTTATAAATTAATTTTGGTAAGTGTATATAAGTATCCCCGGTTTTCTCCCACCTTTTCGACCATTCTCCATCCCTGCCCACCACTGTACCCACTTTTTTCGCAGTGCATTTCGCCTTTGTGTATTTCTGTTTTCTGTTTGTCTATCTGGCCATTGTCTGTTTGTCATATTTATCATGGCAGTTGCTTTTGCATTTGCCATGCCATTCTCTGCACTTGCAAATAAATGTTAATGAGTAGTTAGACAAAAAGCGCTGACAATGCACCGACTGCAACTTAGATACATAATAATGTGATGAAAAGTCTGATGGGGGGATTTACCATCTTGTTGAGCTCGTCTTGGAGCCCTAAACATGCAGAAAGAAGCACAACAATCGCAGCGAAAAAGATTTCAATGGAGCTCTAATGCCTAAATCGTTATTGTTGGGGATGGATAGGTTGCCCAGGTGGGGATGGGACTTCCACACACTCCTGACAAGCTTCTGTCACGCTGAATGGAAAATTTTCTAAAGACCCAAACAACAATGGGGGGCCAGAGAAGCCGCCGTTGCCATGTACATTTTTGCACTTTTTGTCGCTCATTAATGTTAATCAAAAAGCAGAAAGCCCGAGGAAAATCATTCAAATTTTCGGTTGTGTTTGGCAACCGCTTGGGATTTCTTCAAGATACATACCCTTCCCCCTTAGCAATTCCCCTCGCAGTCGCAGTGCGAATTCCCACTCCACTTTGATAAACATCGGATACAATTTCATAGGCCACAAGGCAAACAGATTTTGCTCGAAACGATCGAAGCATCAAAATCAGCATCGATCCATCGACGGTCGTCGAACAATTGTCGCAAACAAATGAGATTGCCATCATCGGGCCTGAGTGAGTTAAATCCTTGCGAATCCTTCCAGAGACACAACCCAAACAAAGACCAGATTTGCAGCAAATTGATAAACGAAAGGAGGAAAAAAAAAGCGTACCGTACGGAAACTGACAAAACCAAATGCAGTTATGACACACCGATTGATAGGTCAGATAGCAGATAAACAGAAACTCATATGGTTTCGGGTTTTTGGTCCTGGAACATGTGGGCATAGGTGGGGATTTCATTGGAAGACCACAATAGGCATTTTCGCTCATTCGTGCTTCCAGAAAAAACAGTTGATTAAGAGCAGTAACTGATGTACCATAGTGGAAGTGGACAACAAAAAGAAGCTATCTGTTGGTTTGAAATTTCTGTTCTACTGTTCTTTCTTCTGTTTCGAGAAAATAGTTTTTCCTTTCGTAAAAAACACTTAAAACTATAATTTTCTTTCCAGACATGTTTTTTTTTTAACATTTATAAAGAACCAGGGATGTATTCTTGGGAATAAATATATAAAATATTTGGGACATATCATAATTAAACATCTCCCCTTATATGAAACCATAATCGACCCAGACAGCCTGTCGCGTTGACCAATTGATTAGCGGAGCTACCTTTTCTTTCTTTGGCCCCTCCTGATTGTATAACCAGTGCAATCAAAATGCTAAATCATGTTGTTCACAGGCTCGCAAAGTAAACACAAAAAAAACAGTTGTATAATGTCCCAGACATGTTTAAAATTGGTATTGGAATGGTCTTTACTAATGGACACGCAGTCTGGTAGTCTGGGGAAGTAGCCTTGGTCAGGACAGACTGCCTGTCGATCGATCGATTTCAATGCAGACGATTACGCGGCAAAAAAAGGACTCCATGATATGGGAGTTGCATAGCAGCAGGCATGGGAAAGATTTCCAGATATCTTGGGGACAGCTCATGAATTACGAAAACCTGTTTCAAGATTTAAATAGTTGCAACTGTGTAGTCAGTAAAATAAATATTAGGTAATTTAAAATGAAATTTAATGGAAAATAATGAAATTTTGTCATAAAATTAAATGATTTAATTAATAAACAATAAACAAAAATCTAATTTATTTTATAATATACCCTAAAATATACTAATTTATTATTTATCATAAAAATATTTATTTAACTCCTCTTTCACAAACATTTTAAATTGTATGCTCGCCTTAAGTTGAAGTATCTTTTTCAAGTGTGACAAAGTTTATCAATATGCATTCAACAGATAAAAGAACATTACATAAATTTTAAGGGTTCTCCCAGTAACAAAATACATACTACATTTTAATCCGTTAAGTAATCCATTTTGTAATACCACAAGAATATGAATAAATTTATTTAGAAATGGCTAAATAGCAGATGTGGCTTTTCTCCCCTAAATTAACTTAAAATTTTAGATAAGCGCTTAGGTGGCATTTGTATCCTTTCTTTGGTCAATGGCCACTTGACCTTGGCCATAATGCAGGCGTCGGCTGCACTTTGTTAGCGTTTATTGGTGGCTCTTCTTGACGGCTTCCTGCGCGGAGTGCGTCTTCCACGGCTTCCTGCTCTTTTCGTGAGTATCTGTATCTGCATCTGTATCTGTATCTGTATGTGTAGTTGCATCTGAGCATGTCCCTTTCCCCTTTCGACGCATTATCCTGTCGGCCATTCGCAA